CTTTCAACTGACATCATTGCTCATTAGTATTTTTGAGAAGTCCTTGACAGGTAGACTTTCCTGAAACAACTCATCCTTCGATTTCCTTACTGCTGGTGCCTAAAATGATGATTGTGGATCCAAACAAGATGAAACTTAATAACCTCAATCTCTTCCCCATCTATCATGATATTGCCAGTTGGCCCAATAGTAAAACTCTTTGTTTTCTTGATGTTGAGATGCAATCCATATTGAAGACTGCAGTCCTTGACCTTCTGCAGCAAATGCTTCAAGTGCTCCTGAGATTTGTAAGCAAGATTGTCTAATCTGCACATCACAGATTGTTAATGAATCTTCCACCAAGTGTCGTTGCATGCTGATGCTTTTAATAGCTTGGAAACATTTAAGGTACTCATAGATCAGAAAAATGAGAATCCCAGAACACTTGACTGTGCTTATTCAAAACAAAGATTCTCACCACTGGGCTGATTGGCAGCATTGTGATGGAATGTGAAGAGACTGAGATTGTAAACAGCTTTAGTTTGCTTGGCTCCACAGTCAACACTCTTGGCATCAGCAGCCAGAAAAGTAAAAGACGTATTGCATTGGGAAAGTCTGCTGTCAGAGACCTCTCCAGAGTACTAAAAAGCAATGATGGCAGCCTGGAGATCAAGGTATGCCTGATACAGGCCATGGTCTTTACAATCACTTGCTATGTATCAGAAAGCTGGACAATGACTAGAGATTATAGTAAGAGAATCGATGCCTTTGAGCTGTGATGTTGAAGAAGATTATTCTGCTAAGAGAACAAACAGGTTCATCCTAGAGAAGATTAAACCAAGCTGCTCCTTGGAGGCAAGGATTCTGAAGCTTCGTCTGGCATACTTTGGACATGTTGTAAGGAGGAACCAGTCCTTGGAGAGGAATCAAGTCCTCTTGCTTGGGAGAGTAGAGGGACAGTGCAGGAAAGGAAGACCCTGGATGAGATGAATTGATTCAGTGACTGGGGTAATGGGAGTAGGTGTTTCAGAGATAGTAAGATTGGCAGAGGATAGAGCAGGGTGTAGGACTGTTGTACACACGGTCGCTATGAGTCGCAAGTGACACATAATAACAACAACAACAACATACTTGAACCAGAAAGCAGTCCTCAGAACAGCAAGGAAACACTGCATGGTTCAAAATCAGGAAAGAAGTGCATCAGGGATGCGTCCTGTCTCCATATCTTTTCAGTCTATATGCAGAACAGATCATTCAGGAAGCTGGGCATTATGAGGAGGAATGTGGTATCAGGACTGGAGGAAGGCTCATCAGCAACTTATATTATGCAGATGACACAACCTTGCTTGCTGAAACTGAGGAGGACCTGAAGTGCTTGCTGCAGAAAGTCAAGGACTATAGTCTTTAATATGGATTGAAGCTCAACATCAAGAAGACAAAGATTCTCACCACTGGGCCAAATGGCAGCACCATGATAGATGGTGAGACTGACATTGAGGTTGTTAACAATTACAGCTTGCTCAGTTACACAATAAAAATTCTTGGCATCAGTAGTCAGAAAATCAAAAGACTAATTGCACTGGGAAAATCTGGTGTCAGGGACCTCTCTACAGTACTGAAAAAGCAACAGTGTCAATCTAGAGACTAAGGTGTGAATAATCCAGACCACGATTTTTTCAATTACTTGCTATGCATCAGAGAGCTGGACAATGACTAAGGATGATAAAAAAAGAATTGATGTCTTTTCGTTCTGGTGTGAAGAGTCTTGAACATACCATGGACTGCCGAGAAAACACATAGGTCTGTATTGGAGAGGGTGAAACCAAGTTTTTCCCTGGAAGCTAGGATTTTGAAGCTCCTTCTCACATATTTTGGGCACATGGCCAGGAGGGACAGGTCCTTGGAGAGGGACATCAAGCTCAGAAGGGTGGAAGGAGAGCACAGGAGAGGAAGATCCCGGATGAGATAATACAGTAACTGGGGCAATGGGAGTAGATGTGTCAGAATCAGTGAGATTGGCTCAGGATAGGGCAGGCTTCAGAGATGCTGTGCATGCTGTACATAGGGTCCCTCTGGGTCACAGGCAACTCAACAGCACATAACAACAACAATAACATATACCATTTGCTCTTTTGGGCTAAATGCTTGTCAGTTATTGTACTAAAGCTGAGGCTTCCAAATTAAGACAGGCTCAAATAACCCCTCTCAAGGTTGTCAGTCGTCCTGCTGAATTGTAATATCAACAATTATTCAGTGCTCATCATAGTTGACCTCTTAGCCGTCTTTTTCACATTTGCTTAACCTGTTTTGTCTTTATTGTGGTATATTTTGCCACATAAAATATTTACCACCATAAAAACTTGCCATCTTAACAATTTTCCAGTGTACAATCCAGTAGCATTAATCACACACACAACCTTGTGCAACCAATACCACTATCTGTTCAAAATTTTTCCATCATCCCATACAGAAACTCTGCTCATGATGCTTAAGCCTATTGTTACAGTCACTAGGGCAATCTATCGCCTTGAGGGTCTTCCTCTCCTTCACTGACACTTCTGTTCTTCTGAGCATGATGTGACTCTCCAGGGAATGGCCCCTCCAGATAACACACTTAGAGCATGTGAGATGAAATGTCATCATTCTTGCTTCTAAAGAATATTCCGACTGCACTTCTTCAAAGAGGGGAGAGGGGAAACAAAATAGTTATTTAGAAGAGTAAAAATCTAGATTATTAAGTCGCATATGATTCATAGCAACTCTATAAACAATGGATCAAAACTTTGTCCAGTCCTGGGCCAGACTGGCAGTCTCTGCCACGCTCAAGTCCATTACTGCAGTCACTGTGTCTCCCTCTTGAAGATCTTCCTCTCTTTCTGATTCTCGACTTTTCCAAGTTTAGAAAAAGCATTCTTTCTTTCGAAAGGCATATGCTCAAAGTACGTCAAAGTTCACTATCCTAGCCTCTAAGGAACACCCCGGTTGCCCATCTCCCATGACAGACTTGCTTGTTCTCTGTCAGTCCATGGTATATTACTAGGAATCTGATCTGGTACATGACAAATTTAGAGTTAGAACAGTCAGCGGAGTTGTGTTATTTCTTGCCAGCCTTGTTCACTGCAGAAATGCTGGCACTTAGAAGGCAGGCCTTCAGATATACTGTAGGAGTAGGATGTAACCAAGGTGGTAAAATACAACTAAAAACGAATACCAGGGAGTGGTTGTAATGACTGACTTTGAAACTCAAATGGGATAGATGTGTAGGAAAAAAGAACCAGAGGGTGTGAGGGACTTAAAAATGTCGATTAGAAATCCTGATGAGGTCAAATAATTGTTAAGGGTTTTATAGGGAGACGAACAAAAATGATTGTGTGAGAGCAGAACATTTGAAACTAAAGTGGTAAGAAGGGTAATTATTTGTAAAAAAAAATACGATCAAGTCTATAAAGAAACGTGACTGAGGAAAGTGAAATCACAACAATATGACAATGCCAAAGAAAAAAAAACAACTGATATTCTCAAGAGTTGGAAGTTTTAATGAGGAATACCACAGCTCAAGCTAAGTAAAATAAGCGTACAGAGAACAAAGCAAAGATATCATTTATTTAGCTCAGCTTTGGAGTCCTTTGAAATGTAAAAGTCATTTGGTCATTTAGGTGGGTTCTGCTTCAGGGGAGTTCTGGTGGCCTCGTCTATAGGGAGTTGTGCTGGTAACTCAAAGGCCATGCCTCACTGGTGGTTAAAAACCACTGGTGGATCCGTGGGGTGAAGACAGGCAATTTCCTCCTGTATCATTTACAGCCTTAGAAACCTAAGGGATGGTCAGCTACAAGCCAATTCGGACACTTTGGCAATGAAAGAGGGATCTGGTGATACACATACTTGCTAGTAACAAATTTTTTACATCATGACACATCCTTCCCTGGAACTGCTTACATCCTGACCTTTTGCTTCTTGGAAATTTTGGAATGTATGCTGATGAGGCTGAATGGCCCCAGTGTTAGAAAATGTTCATCAGACACAGGAGCAGTGTCTAAGAGTGGCTGAAAACCAGGGGCTGAAATTCAATGCCACAAGGATTGCAAGTGGAGGTATCATTTAATGATGTGAGATGCAAACCAGTGCTTCGAGAGTGGGAAGGAAAAGGTCTGAAGCCGCTGTGAAGAGTCAAGGATTTAAATGTTCCAACAGACCAGAATGTGAAATGCCCTCCTTAATGTCAACTGATTTTACACAGTAACTCCAGCATATCAAGCATTTTTTAAGGGAGTGGCCTAATTTCACTAGAGACCAAAATCTTTACACAAAGAAAAGTCATAAAATCAGGCCTGTGATTTCCTTTTCTCATGTCTCCAGATTGGCACCCTTTATAGTTCAGTGCCTCCATGAGATTGACCAAGGGTACTCAAACAGTCCCAATCTTTATAAAATGTATTCAAGCAAACATTAAATAAATTTCTGGGATATTTAGAAAAAAAAAAAGACTCAAGGAGGACTGCGATCCTCCTCAGCTTCCTGAGGTGCTGGGGGGCCAGAGACCAATAGCATCCTTCAGTCGTTCCGGGCACAAAGCCCTCCCATTCTCAGAGCCGGTTAGCATCCTCTTCCCTTACATCTTGGTTGTCACCAATTAATTAATCAAAAACAACCCCCCCAAAATGAGGAAATGCTTTCTCCCTCAATACATCCAATATTTAAAAATCAAGGATCTATGACCGCATCAGTGTGGACCAAGCTATTGTTGGGGGCGTTTCTTTCTTTCTTTCTTCTTTTTAAGGGCTTTCCAATCCTTGACCGGAAATTTGTGATTTAACAGGTTATTTTCAATTCCTCAATTCGAAAAACCCAACTCAAGTATTTTATTTCAGTTAATGAGGTAACAGCCACAAAATGCAAGAATCTGTGTTATGGAGGATTCAGACAGGTCCTGCCCTTATAAAGTGTATGACGTTTATGGGAAGAAAAGGAAAAATAAGTTGATGGGGGGGGTAGCTATATGTAAGATGCAAAGTGCATCTTACAGAAGAGAAAAGGACGTGTGATCCATCCCCACCCTTCTGGAATTACCATTTCTGAGGCTACATCCACCTCAGCCCTTCTCACGTCTCTCACCGCCTGACGGTCCTATTTTGTCATCTCGTCGTCATTCTGGAACCTTCGCCCATTTTCATAACTGTGCTGTTTTGCCCTCGCACCACGTGGCGTCATTCCTCCTGAACCCAAAGGCGCATGTTCCCACCGACGGTGCAAGCTCTCCATTTGCGAGCATCGTCCCGCGAGCGCCCCCCTCCGGTCTCTTTCGTGCGGTTTCACCTTCACCGCCCGCCCTCCGCCACCTTCCCAGGATCCCCTGCGGCGCGGCCCCGCCCCCGTCATCACCTGACCGACTTCAAGTTCAGCCCGGGGCCCCGGGAGCTGTGCGGGTGGCGCGCGGGCTGCACCCCGGCGGCTGCTCTTGTTGCTGCCACAGCCTGGGCTGACCTCGCGGGTACCGCGCCGATAAAAAAGTGCTGCGGCAGAACCCTTCGGTCGTCCCGTCTGCCCCACCTCATAAGGGCCTGTGACCTCATGGAACTCAAACCACAGCGCAGCCACTGGACGGGAGAGCTCCTCTGCACGTTCTTGCTTTCTCCCACCAATGTCTGGATTCTGCGCACCATCCTACATACCTCCTAATCTTCCTGCAGTTCCTTTCGTTCTCAGGCTCTCCCCTGCCACCTGATCTCGTTTCAGTAGACTGCCATCTTTTGAAGACCAGGCCTGCTAATAGAAGATTCCGCCCTCCTTGATTTCAGCAGCTCAAAAATTAAATAAAAACCCTCCAATTCACTGTTGTTGAATAAGAGCTGGCTCTGCAGCAGGTTTGGGGGGCTATTGGTAGATTCATGCCGCAGCACAAGCAGCACCGCCTTCGGACGAGCAGGGCATTTCCCTGCAGATTAAAGACACCAGTGCCTCAAAAACTGGTTGTCTCATTCACTGCTGTTATTTGTCATTTAATACCACTGAGTCAGAACTGATCCACAGCTCCAGCAGATTTTCAGAGGCAGTTAGTCGCATAGGAGGAGAATGCCCATCCTTCTCCCTCTGAGCAGCTGGTGGATTCGAACCTCGTACCTTAGGTATTGCAGCAGATTCTTACCCCTAGGCCACCAAAGCTCCCTTTCATCCCACTACTTGGCTTAACTTTATTTGGAATGCTATTTTGACTGCAAAATTCCTGCTGGGATTTTTTTTTCTTTGGAAGTTAACTTTTCCTTCATTCTGCAGTTGAAATAATACTGATAATTTTAAAAGCTCAGTTTTCCTTGATTTTCATTTATTTCCACGGAAATTTTATAAATTCTGTTAAATTAGTAATTTTTAAAGCTTATTATCTGAACTGCCAATCGAAAGTTTGAGGATTCAGGTAGCACCCAAAGGCACCTTAAAAGAAAGAAAGAAAGCAATGGCTTAATCACATTGTTGTTGGTATGTGCTGTGGAGTCTCCTGTGACTCATAGTGACCCTATGTACAACAGTCCTAAACCCTGACCTATCCTGTGCCAATATAATTGTCTCTGACACACCTATCCCTATTACCCCAGTCACCAAATCAATCCATCTCATCAAATGTCTTCCTCTCCTGCGCTGTCCCTCCACCCTCCCAAGCATGACTTCCCTCTCCAAGGACTGGTCCCCCCTTGCATCATGTCCAAAGTATATCAGACGAAGCCTCAGAATCCTTGCCTCCAAGGAGCAGCCTGGTCTTAGCAAAGGCAATTTTTTATGTGTAGTGCAATGTAATGTGTTCACAGGTCCTAGAGATTAGAGCATGGACTTTGGGGAAGACCATTATTGATTCTGTTGACCAGTGTTCTTTCCTTCACGAGATGACTCTCAGTTCTCTTTTGTTGTTGAAAATTACACAGCAAAATATGTACTGATTCATGTTTCTATGTGTACATTGTATTTTTTTTAATGATGAAACCATTCTCACTCTCCTTTTCTGAGTTGGCCCTCACTTATCAGCATAAACCTGTCATCTCTTAAGATTCCTAATTTTTTCAGTTGTTGTTATCAATTTGATCCCACATAGATAGTTCTTTAGAAGAGAATAATGTTCAAGGTATACAATTTTTACTAATTGAGCTAAACTATTTTTTGGTTTAAATGACCTCTGATGGCACACGTGTTATGTGGTAGACTCCTAAACAAAAAGTTCAAACCCACTGGTTGTTCCTCAGGACAAATATAAGGCAATTATTTACAGCCTTTGAAACCCTATGGAGCAATTCTGCTCTGTCCTTGAGAGCTGTTTTAGGTTTAGGACTCAGTGGCAGTGTGATTGGGGTTTGAGGGTGCTTATTGATAAGTTTTAACATGACACAGGAGTTGCATCCACTTCCTAAACAACATGCCTCCACAAACTCTATGAACTTTGATAAATATTGATAGTTGTAGAGAAGCTTCAGGCCTTTTGTTCATAGGGTTGCTATGCGCCGGGCTCCACTCGAAGGAAATCAACAGTAACAATAAGAAAAGTATATTTTCTGTCTTAAGCTTTAAAGATACTCTCAGGGCAATAATTTTAAGAGGTCATTCACCCTCCATGGCTCCAGAAAGTCGGTAGAGTCCATGAGAATTTGAAATTCTTTTCTGTGTGTTCTCCCTTTTCATCAGGATTCTTTTCTGATACCTTTGATCAACGTGTTAAGAAACGGTTTTCATGGTAAAGGAGGCAGGTGTAATGAACTTCTACTGAATGGCAATGACAATACAAAACTTATAAAAATCATAGATTCCTTCTTGCTCTCGAAGCTAGTTAATATGTTGCAAGGATGCACAAACAGCTCTATGGGGACACTATGGCCAGCAGCCAGTATGAACAGTTGTCTCCTGCCAGCAGCAATGTAAGTCATCTTGAGAGGAGGATCTTCCAGCCCCTTGGAGCCTCAAATTGGCTGCAACCTCAGGCAACAGCTTGAGTGCACCCTTATGATTCTCATCCACAGCCCTCCAACCAAGCCCTTCCTGAATTCACCATAAACACGGCCAATATATTTTAAGCTGCTAAACTGTAAGGTATTGTTATATGCCCAACAGATTCCTAATACAATTCCCTAGATCACACCTTGAGCCACAATTTCTGCTTAAGTTCCAGGCCCTAAGTCTACACGCTAGTCTCCTTAAATAAAAGCGCATACTTCTTCCTCTAAATGTCACTTCCTGACAGATCTGTTCACCTCTTTAATTTACATTTCATTGTCTATGAGATGGACATGGCACACATACCTGCAGGAGAGATTATGAAATAATATTTATTCTGGGTGGTGATACATCCAACTCCTAATATATGGCTGGGAGTGAACTCAAGAAGCCTATGATTATACAACTTGGGAGACAGATCAAAAGATATTTGGTCTTCTGAATCTATAAGCCAAAGTAGGTTCTTAATGTTATAGAAACTGAGCTAACTTACTGTAAACTTTCTATACAAGAAGAATAAATGCTCCATGACTTCCATCAGTTGTTTTGAAACTTGAGCATGCATCAGAATCATTCGGAATGCTTACTAAATAAAATAGCTTGTTAAACTCCACCCTAAGCTTTTCTGATTTGGTAGATATGGGTTGGGTCCTACACATTTCCATTTCTAACAGTTCCTCAGTTTATACAGATGCTTCCAGTAATGGGAGCACACTTTGCAACCTGTTGCCTCAAATAAAAGGTGGGCATTTAAGCAATCCTGAAAATCGGCCATCCAGCCTTTCTCTTAACATTTTATGATCCCAGCAAACAAAACCTAGGCTAAGTTAGTATTCTGTTCTGTGGAGGTATTATGAATCACTAAACAAATCTCAATTTGGGGATATAAAAATTAGAACAGTAATAATGTACTCATTTTGAGAATGTTATTACAAATCTCCAGAACAATTTTGGATTCTGACGCCAACTTCCGTTTCTGTAGCACTCACCATTCTGTAACATTTGGAAATATGTTTGTTCTAAAATAATCATTCTGTGAGGAAATTGCATTCTTTTCACTCAAAGGAAACATAACAATACAAAAAACACTGGACAGCCTTTTTTGGGGAAGCACTTTTAATTCACTGTTGCACAACATAGAGCAGATGGTCGGAATGTTAGGAAGGCACTTTAGTAGTTTCAATCAGGAATAGTCAACAGAGAAATACCCTCAAATAATTCTAGGAGTTTCTCAGAAGTGAAGAACTAACTCTTTAAATGGTTTGTCATCCAGAAGTCAGGAATGTTTATACTTTCCACTTTTGTACATAGACCCTAAGACTGGACATAAATCGGCTCCAAGAGAGCTGGGTAAAAATAGCCCACTTGGACTATGCTGTCTGACGGCAAAACACTATTTATATGTTCGTCCCACATGACACCAAAAGTAGCTGTGTGCAGTCTTATGAGCACAGCCAGTGGTTAACAAACAGTACTGGTTTTCAATGTCTCTGAGCATCATTCTAGAAACACAAACAGAATTTCCAGTAGTGCTTTCATCAACTGGATACCTTTTCTTCCTCCTTTGATTTAGAGGTTTTTTTTAAATATAAAATCTATTGTTTAAAGATAATATCCCGTTACTACTCTAATGAACCATGTCTTCACCAAAGATTATAATTAACTTCTAAACTTCTCAGATTGGTAGTCATGCCATCCCTCCCCCACTGATCTTTACTACCAGCCCATCGCCTATAGTAAGTATGCATGAGACAGCATGATCATTTGCCCATTCCTAATTCCAAGGCTTATTCTCAACTATTCCTCACGGATTCCTCTTCCTAGATATGTGGACACAAATATGTGCAACACGAACTAAGAAATAAGAACCAAATGCAGATTAAGTGCTACATCAGGAGATGTAAGATGCACTTAACAGAAGATAGAGGAAGAGTTCTGAGAGACAAAAGAATAAGATTCTCTTTAAGCAAAGTAACATGGAATGACATCTGCTCTTGCCAAAGCCACATCTCAGATTTCCCAATCAAGATGTCAAACCATATCAACCCACACAGAAATTTGAGGCTGCATGTTATTGGTGTCACAGTAAGTTCTGGAATCTTAGAACGCTGTCGTTGAGTGTGTCTCTGAGTTGATACCAATTTCACCTGGCCCTATAGCACAGAGTAAAACTTCCCCATAGGGCTTTCTAGGTTGTAATCTTTACAATTGCATCTACACAATCAAAGATCTTTTCCTGTTGAGCCACTGAGTCAGTTCAAACCAGTATTAAGTTAGCAGATGAGTGCTTAACCATTGCTTTATCAAAGTTCTGTTTAAATCTTACAGTCTTGGGAAATTGATACTGAAAAATATCTCTCAAGAACAGTTAATCCAAGCAGATTTTTGAAACTAGAAAACCGAGCCCCAAGAGAAAGGATAACATAAGCACCCTTAACAGCAATACGAAGGAGCTCTGGTGGCTTGGTCTGTAGGAAGATGCACTGCTAACTCAAAGGACTATTTATAATCCTATGTGCCTTTTTCTAATGCTTTGGATTCACTGGCTGAACCTCGGGAAAAAGATGGGCAACCTCCTCCTATGCAGGTCACAGCCCTGGAAACTCAATGAAGGGTCAGCAACGAGTCAGTTCTAACTCATAGGCAATGAGGTTTTTTGGTTAATTGCAATATTGACATCAGGACTCAGCTATTTTGATTCTCAGGCCATTGTAAATAGGTAGTTTATATTTTCTTAGGTGTGAGTGACACTCAGGAAGGAGCTATTGCTAAGAGTAAATAGAACAACCCGTTCCCCTCCTCCTCTGGAAAGGTCCAGCACATCCACATGTCCATCCTCACAGGCTTCCTGGATAATGCCTTAAAGGGTCAGAGGTCTGGTCAACAGCTGACTCTGAATTATGCTAGGTGGGAGTGTATCCAGCCCAATTCTGTAGGTTTTTCTGTCCCCTTCTTTGTTATCAAATAAAATTACAAATACTATTTTACTTCTATCCATGTTCCCTTGTATTAGACAAACCTCATTGTGGTTTCAGGTGCCCCAAAGAGAACAAGGCAGAAAGATGGCACTTGTGGCTTCTCAGGTAAAAGTCTGAGTTAAAGAGAGGCTTTAGGACAATAGGCCACACACAGTGACACATCTGGCCTGTCATTCCACCCTGGCACTTTCAACCAATAGACTCAGAAATCCACAAGAATGGTTCCTTCACAAGACACCCCAGAGGTAGATAAATACAATGAGCCCAAGGAAGGCTGTAGAACACAGAGGCACAGGAGCGGGTGTGTGGTGGTGCCTTGGACAAATGGAAGAAGACTTGAAGGAACAGGGTCGACATTTGAGCCTAACCAAGCGCTGTCTTTGGTCATGAGAGAAATCCTCAACACACAACAAATGTCTACAGCAGTGAGAGTGTGAAGAAGGAGGTAAGGAGATGATGCTGATAGAAGCTTCATCTATAGCTCTCAGTGAGACAAACCTAAAGGACTGTGATTGTGAACTGGGAGGTGCTGGTCATGCATGACCCCTGGGAGGCCCTGCCATCCTCACTTCCAATAAGTCAAAGAAGTGGATAGAAAGGACTGTCTTTAAAGGCTGACTTGAGGTGATTAAAAAAAGGCACAGGCAGCTCTAATGGTTCAACTCTCCCAACTCTTTCAACCTGGAGAAGGGAAGAAGCTGGGGTACTGATGATACAGGGAGATGCAAAGTCCAGCAATTCCTACGTAGTTGCTGAGAGGCAGTCCCAAGAACGATAAACTCATCTTCTGGGGGGAGCAGAGTCTTGGTATTCTTTCCTGGGAATGAGAGGTCTCAGCTCTGCCCTTCTCTTCAGGAAGAATGTTCCAGAAGTTGACTTCTCATTGAGGTAATGAAGAACCACCCACTCAGGCACATAGGTCACCCTCAAGCTAAGCAGGAAGAATCCCTGTAGAAGGCACTGTGAGGACAAAGGCTGAGGACACTTCACAAGTCTTAAATTATACATGCCCACACACACACACAACACAGTCATACACACACATATATACACAGAGACCCACACCTCTACATACTGACATTCTCCCAGCCCACCCCACTTCCAGGCCCAAATCCTGCCACATAGACACTGTCCTCTGTAAACATGATGGGCGAGTCTCCCATGATCCAGGAGAGACAGATAATGATCTGAGGATGACTGCTCGTTATCAGGTGCCCTTGTAGGTGATGTTGGTGAAGGTAGATGTAGCCTCTTTATACAGTGGATTGTTGGCCTGAGGAGAGAATAGAAAAATTCCTTGTGGTGAATGCTTCAGTTCTTTCCTATGCTAAAGGTTTAAATCTCATGAGAAGCTTGCCTATGACATCATTCTCTGAGATATACTATTCTTTAAATAGCTTAATGTTCCTTTTTACCTACACAATAGCTCTTGGAATGGAAATAAATAAGAAATAAGAGAAAGATGGAGTGAGTTAAAATGTCATTCTGCCAGTATTTCAAAGGAGTTAAATGCAGCCCGGTGGAGGAGGCAGTGATGGGCCAGAGGTAGTAGTAGCCGAAACACTAATGTTCTTGGGACCCTTAAGAACAAATTTTCAGCCAACCCTAGACCTTCACTTGGAAGATTCAGGAAAAAAGTAAATATGCAGAAGATGAACCCAAGGAAAACAAAATAAAATTAGGCATATAGAAGGCCACTGAGCCAATTGGCAGCATCAGGATGGATGGTGAAGAGATTCAGATTGTTCACAGCTTTAGTTTGCTTGGCTCCACAATCAACACTCTTGGCACCACCAGCCAGGAAATTAAAAGATGTATTATGATGGGGAAATCTGCTGTTAGGGACCTCTCCAAAGTACTGAAGAGTAATGGTGTCACTCTGGAGACTAAGGTGCACCTGATACAGGCCATAGTCTTTGCAATCACTTGCTAGGCACCAGAGAGCTGGACAATGACTAGGGAAGATAGAAAGACAATTGATGCCTTTGAACTGTGGTGTTGGAGAAGAGTATTGAATGTACCATGGACTGCTAAGAAAATGAATAGGTTCAACCTGAGAGGGTTAAATCAGGCTGCTCCTTGGAGACAAAGATTCTGAGGCTTCATCTGACATACTTTGGACATGTTGCAAGGAGGGACTAGTCCTTGGAGAGGGGCGTCATGCATGGGAGGGTGGAGGAATAGAGCAGGAGGGGAAGACCCTTGATGAGATGGATTGATTCAGTGACTGGGGTAATTGGGGTAGGTGTGTCAGAGACAGTGAGATTGGCACAGGACAGACCAGGATTTAGGCCTATCGTACACAGGATCATTAAGAGTCGCAAGTGACTTGACAGCACATAACAACAAGTAAAAATGGATGTGATTGGATTAAACCAAGGTAAATTCAAAACGTAAGAAGCATAATATTTCTTTATGATTCATCCTGGAGAGGATTAAACTGGGCTGCTCCTTGGAGGCAAGGATTCTGAGGCTTTGCCTGATATACTTTGGACATGTTGTAAAGAGGGACAGGTCCTTGGAGAGGGACATCATGCTTGGGAGGGTGGAGGAACAGCACAGGAGGGGAAGGCCCTCTATGAGGTGGATTGATTCAGTGACTGGGATAATCGGGATGGGAGTGTCAGAGAGTGCGATTGGCATAGGGCAGAGCAGAGTTTAGGGCTGTTGTACACAGGGTCGCTATGAGTCACAAGCGACTCTACGGCACATAACAACAACAACAAGCATAAGAGTGTAATCCAACTGTGGAGTTATCATCCCATCATTGGAGAAGGAAGGTCAGAGGAAAATGAGGTGAAACGCATCCTCTACTGTTCCTAAGGTGCTAGCCAACAAAAGAATTCCTCTCTCAACCTGATTCCCTCCTACAATTGGGAAAGTTACTGAATTCCTCTACTCTGTGCTCAATTTCCTTGTTTGTGAAATAAGAATGATAGTGGTGGGGAGCTCTGGTGGCCTAGTGGCAAGAAGCTGCACTGCAAACCCAGAGGCGCACGGTTCAAATCCACCAGATGCTCTGCCGAGGAAGGAGGGAAAATCTCCTGTACCAGTCAGATATGATTTGACGATACACATACACAAAAATAATAATAAAATTAAAAAAAAATTTTTTAAAAATTTTAAAAAAATAAAATAAAAAAAGAAGAATGATAGTGGCTACCACTTTTTTGTTCTAGGGATGACCTAAATTAATACATGAAAAGTATTCAGAAGCACATGGTAAATATCCAACAAACATTAGCTCTTATTAGACATTTTGTTTAAATTTCTGGTTTAATGCTTTTATATTTTATCAGGATAATGTTCAATGTTCTCACTGTAAATTTTCATGTCCCCTGTCTCCCAGAGCAGCAGGATATGGATCTTCAATTACCTCACAGGATACAGAGCTGAGCACTTGGTGTCCTCAGATTCTGCATACTGGCATGACTTACGGTCACTGTATGGTAAAAGGACACTCAAAGGTTTCCAGGAAGCTTAAGGACAAAAGGATAGTCAGGCCATCTTCCAATTTCCAAAACTGGGAACTATGGTGTTGGCCAAACTGGCCACCCTGAGCATCTCTTGCTTTCGCTCCAGCTTCTGGAATCCAAACTCCCAGTGCAGCCTCTTACCGTGTCCCATTTTGCTCTCGCTCGCTCTTCTTCAAATTTAGCAAATTCTTTCCGGTCGTGGATGGTGATGAGGAGTTTCCAGATGAGCAGCGTAGCAAGACCGATGAGTAGAACAGCCCCCATGACTGAAAGAAGCACCACCAGGATGTCAGGGCCCTTGGGACAATCTATCAAGGAAGAGCACAGAGCAAGGTGACTGAGAGGGAAGCAGGAACCATTTGAGTAGAGTCTGATAAAATCTTCTAGAAAAAGTGATAAAGTACTGGACAGATCTCTTAAGGAAGTAGGGACATCTTATTGATTTACTTTTAAAACCCTTAGGACAGTGATAATCTGCCTTGAGTGGTTTGACTCAGACTGGATTGGTCAACAGGGACTTTATCTAGTTTACCCAAGAATTTAGTTCTGAAAACAAACAAACAAACAAACGTATTTTCCTTTCCAAACTGTTCCTGGCGCTATGGCCTCCACAAAGTGGGGTGTGAGAAGAAGAAAGGCCATTCTGCCATAATCGAAGTGGTGACCAGAGAACAACACACCATCAACATTCACGCGCGCATTCACGGAGTGGGATCTAAGAAGCATGCCCCTCAGACACTCAAGGAGAGCCAGAAATTTGTCATGAAGGAGATGGGAACACTAGAAGTTCTCATTAACACCAGGCTTAACAAAGCCATCTGGGCCAAAGGACTAAGGAATGTCCCATACCACATCCACGTACAGATGTCCAGAAAACGTAAGGACGAAGATTCCCCAAATAAGCTGTATACCCTGGTTACCTATGTAGTTGTCACCACTTTCAAAAATCTACAGGCCATCAATGTGGATGAAAACTAATAGCTGATTATCAAATAAAGTTATAAAACTGTATAAGGTATTTATTTTATTGGCAACTTTGGATAATGAGGATATACTGCTCAGCTTGCCCAAATTTCAGGTTTTTCTTCACCATCTCTTTAAAAAACAGAAGTAGGAAAGATCTATAAACTCTGGCTGAAGAACATTATTGCCAAATGGCAGCGGCTAGTTAGAGTTGCGGAGCAGCCGCCTCTTTTACACGGGACTCACGTTCTCTAATTTTCCACTGTCCTCACCAGTCTGTATTTTTTTTTAACCCCCAAAGCCACAGCCAAATAGGACTTTTCATTGCACCTGTGCTAATGTGAACTTCGGAGCTAGATTGTGTCGGGGTTGATTCTTGAACTCTCACTTTCTTTTCTATGTGATTTTGGGCAAACTCTGGGTATCTGTTTCTTTGTTTCTCCACATTTAAAAAAGAAAAGGTAATACCACTGATTTAAAAAAATTAAGAAATAATCAAGCTAATGTCTTTTTAAAAACCCAAAGCAGTGCTTGGTACAGAGTAAACCAATGAAAATCACACCCCCTGCCTCGGAGTCAGTTTCAACTCATGGCAACCCTCCGTTAAGTCCAAGGCTGAGTGTCTGAACGACAGCACACAGCTTCATCTCTCTCCTGTTGAGAGTAGCTAGCTGCTGACTTTGAACTGACAGCTTTTCAGTGAGCAGCTCAACACACGGTCAGGTTCCTTTTTCACTACCGTCAAGTTGTTTCCAACTTACAGCAACTCCCCATTGGGTTTCCAAGGCTGTAAATCATAACAGAAAGAGACTTCCCATCTTTCTTTCCCAGAGACACAAGGCCTTTGGGTTAGCACAACTCACTACAGACCATACTACCACAGCTCCCTGTGGCCCAGAATAAGTCAACCGTTTACCAGCTACCATTACTACTGTTATTCTCCTCAGTCCATCTCTAATTTACCTGCTGGCTTACTGGTAAGCACTGCCAGTTCAAAAGCAGCGACTCCATGGCAGAAAGATGGGCGATCTTCTCCTGAGCAATTTACTGCCTCCGAAAAACCCGCTGGAAGGTCAATGATGAGTTGGTTCTGACTCCACAGTACACAACAACAACAACAACAACCTAGCCTGTAGGCATTTATACTGGTTGCCTAGCTTCCAATATTTATACTCCTTAGTCACGGCAACTCCACAAACATTTTAACATATTCAGAGATCAAGAGGCCCAAACAGTATTTTGGATTCTTTCCCTAAATATGTGTTACATTGTTAGGCACCATCAATTTAACCACAACTCCTAGCCACCCTATGAATAAAAAATTGAAGCTTTGGCCTGCCCTGCAGTAGCATTCTGGTCTCACTGATGCTCCAGCCCATTTTTACCATCACTACTGGGGAGGATAGAAGGAGAATTGATGCCTCTGAGCTGTGGTGCTGGAGAAGAGTATTGAATATACCATGGACTGCCAAGAAAACAAACAGATTCATCCTGTTGTTGTTGTTATGTGCCGTCGAGTCGCCTGCGACTCATAGCGACCCTATGTACAACAGCCCTAAACTCCGCTCTGCCCTGTGCCAATCGCACTGACTCCGACACTCCCATCCTAATTATCCCAGTCACTGAATCAATCCACCTCACAGAGGGCATTCCTCTCCTGCACCGTCCCTCCACCCTCCCAAGCATGATGTCCCTCTCTAAGGACCAGTCTCTCCTCACAACATGTCCAAAGTATGTTAGATGGAGCCTCAGAATCCTTGCCTCCAAGGAGCCACCCGGTTTAACCCTTTCCAGGACAAATATGTTTGTTTTCCTAGCAGTCCATGGTATTCTCAGTACTCTTCTCCAGCATCACAGCTCAAAGGCATCAATTCTCCTTCTATCCTCCCTGGTCATTGTCCAACTCTCTGATACCTAACAAGTGATTGCGAAGACCATGGCCTGTACCAGACGCACCTTAGTCTCCAGAGAGACACCATTGCTCTTCAGTACTTTGGAGAGGTTCCTAACAGTAGACTTTCCCATGGCAATGCGCCTTTTAATTCATCCTAGAGAGGGTTAAATCAGGTTGCTCCTTGGAGGCAAGGATTCTGGGGCTTCGTCTAACATACTTTAGGACATGTTGTAAGGAGGGACAGGTCCTTGGAGAAGGACATCATGCTTGGGAGGGTGGAGGGACGGCACAAGAGGGGAAGGCCCTCTATGAGGTGGATTGATTCAGTGACTGGAGTAATCGGAATGGCTGTGTCAGAGGCAGTGCGATTGGCACAGGATAGAGCAGGGTTTAAGGCTGTTGTTCATAGGGTCGCTATGAGTCGCAAGCAATTCGATGGCACATAACAACAACAACTGTGTCATTCCATCTTGCCGAGAGTCGTCCTCTGTTTCCTTTATCCTGTTTCCCCAGCAGGATGTCTTTTTCTAGGGGCCGGTGCCTCCTGACTTCCTGTCCCAAATATTCAGTCATCTAAAAATCCTATCCCTATTGAAACTCGACTTCCTTTTCAACTTCAGCCAACCACCGAGACAGACAGATATGTCTCACTGCTCTAAGGGCAAGTCTGTGGGTATGCTCATCCCATAGAGCTCTGCTTTCCATAAGCGACAGGTATCTGATGAGTAACTTCACCCAGGTGTCTCGTCAGGTATTATGGGACTAGGAATTTATATATATGTGGGTATGGGTAAGTCTGGAAAGGGGTTACACACACTTACCACACTGTCTCCTGTCTTCTTCCCTAAACATAGATCCTGTGCTCACCACATACTAGGCAAAAACAACCACCACCACAAACCCAAGCTGGCTATTTCCCAACCCACCAAATTACAACCTCTGTCTGTAATTTAAAAGGGCCAGGGGAAAGGCTGTGAGGCTCTAGAGTCAAAGTTCTCAAGAGTAGAGGGCCTAAATTCTGGGAAAAGCAATTATGAACTAGGAGAGGAACGACCCTTAAACTTCAAAGGGAAATCCCTTCAATTCTCCATGTTGGCTGGACAGGATGGATAGAATGCCAGGAAGCCTTCAGGAAGGGGAAGGGGGGAAAAAAATTCATTAAACAGCTGTCCAGAAAGGAGCGGTTGGCAGGCTTCCTGAAAGACAAGATCAGGTGATCTCAGGCAGGTCCCCCTGGGTACAACGGTGAGAACCCATGTGAGGGTGGGGAAGAACCAGGGTCAACAAAGTCTGGCAAGGGCTAGGAGATTTAGAAAACAGTTGAAGTCCCATTACAGACAAGCAATGAAAAGGTTTTTTGTATAAGCATGTAACCAGTGTTGTATGCTGTTGTTGTTGTTGTTGATTGTCTTTGAGTTGAGCACAACTCATAGCGGCCCTATGAACAAAAGGCCTGAAGCCTTTCTAGAATTATCAACATTTATCAAAGTTCATAGAATTTCCAGAGGCATGTTGTTTAGGAAGTGGATGCCACTCCTACTTCCAAGTGTTGCATGAGGCATATCATACTTTTATCTGGTAACCACGTCTGAGAATAATGAGGACCTGTGTCAGGGTAGCTCATTCCACATGGGCTAAAGTTATGCTGGACTAATGCCAATCCTTTTTGACACTATTCCTTGTACCATCCTGCAGTGGCTTAGACCTTCAAAAAGGGTCTCTTCAAGGACTTAATTTAAGGAACGGAAAAGGTATCATTTTGCCCATGATCTGGGACCTCGGGGAGCAGGAGGAAGAGGAAAGCAGAGCCTGGAAGTACAAAGCAACATAGAAAATACGGAACCCTGGAGCTCTGGTTCCTCCTCTGATGTGCTAGGAGGGTTCTGTTGAGGAGAAAGGTGCCCAATTAGAGGTTATTTGTACCAATCCAGGTTGTTATCACCTTTATTCCTTATACCATCCATCAGGTAGTGGATTACAGTCTAAGAATAAAAAGGCAAATTATCTTGTTGAGTGATTAATTAGAATCATCAACAAAAATTGTTCTAGCAAAGAGATGAAGTCATGTTAAACTCAAGAGTAAAAAAGACATATTGCCTTTCTGAAATAATTTATAAATAGGATTCCTATTTGTTGTTGTATGCCTTTGAGATGGAACCATCCCATAGCTGACCCTCCAGTAGGTTTTCAAAGGCAGCAAATTGCACAGGAGGAGACTTCCCGGCCTTCTCCTGCAGAGGGGTTGGTGAATTCAAACCTTGTGCCTTTAGGATTACAAAGCAACTTTTTACCATTAGGCCACCAGAGTTCCAGTAAACAGGGCTCTTGTTGTTGTAGGCCACCAAGTCAGAAATTACCAATAGTTGACCCTCCAGGAGGTTTTCAAAGGCAATTTAATTGCATGGGAGGACACTGCCCATTCTTCTACGGTGGAGCTGCTGGTGGATTCAAACTGCATGACTTTGAAATTGCAGCACAGCTTCTTATCACTAGACCACCAGAGCTCCCTATAAATAAGGTGGTGGTGGTGGTGGTAAGCCATCAAGTCATAACCAACTCATAGCTGACCCTCCAGTGAACTTTCAATTGCTGTAAACTGCATGAGAGGAGCCTGCCCATCTTCCATAGAGCAACCGGTGAATTTAAACTACATGCCTTTGAGTTGGCAGTGCAACTGTTAGGGTTGGAATCAATGATATAAGGGAGGCAAAAGCTATATCAGAGCCAGGAAGCAGATATTGACATACATAGAAATTGAACTTTGGGTGAATGACTGATGTTAGAAGAAGGGGACACTTTGGACGCATGAATGACATCAGAGATCAGTGACCAGAAGACCCACCCACTAAACTGAACTCTCCATGGCATCATCCCATTGGCTCAGACTCCAGCTGCAAAGCCTTCCCAGAGAATAAGGCCATAGATAGAGCCTCATCTCAATAGCAAGAGGCTTTTCTGCTCCTTATTTCCTTTCAAGGAAGGAGGTCCATCCCTTTGGGGATATAACTTTCTCATAAATCGATCTTTACTTTTTGTCCTCATCTCTGCCTTCTTGTCTTTTCTGTCTCATCCCTGAACCCTAAAAATAAGCGTCGGTCTATACTTTAATGTTCCATGCGTTAAGGTCTGCTCTCCCCGAAGTAACACTAAAATTGTGGTAGGTTCTACTCCCTTGATACTTGGGCACCATCCCCTTCTCTAGTCTCTTCAGCCTGATATAATTCTTTTGCCTGTGTAAGAATGGCAAACTAGGGGATGCAACACATGGTAGGCAACACAACTCTTTAGCTCTAAGCCACCAGAGCTCCCTTTGGTATACAAGTGCTCAAAAATATTTTTTAATGATTCATATTTTAATCTTTTCTTTCAGGGAAAGAAAGAAAATTAACAGAGTAAAGAGAAACAGCAAATCTGTGCTTATGGTACAGCTGGCCCTCCCCGCTCCCAGAGGGCTTTGAAAGCAAGAGCTATCTTTTCAGTACTCACTGCAGCCTTGGATAAGTGCCACCAACCTATCACCGAGGCTTGTCATGAGTCTGGTAAGACAGTCAACGTCTCGAGTCACCAGGCCTTTCTCTAAAGCAGCAGGAAAGTTACTCTTGGGCCATCTAACTTTTAATAGAGTAGCTATCTTAGGTAAGAAAGTTGTGGAATTTAAATCCCTTCCTTCTTGGCGTCATCACCTCAAAAATGCCATGATATATGTAGTTTGTCCCTTAATAAGAGCCATACTTAGCTTCTTTCTCTTCTTACCTACTTTGTCTTCATTTTCTTTTACTTTCCCTTCAATTAGCAACTCATATTCTTCCTAATACCCTGATCAACATGACAGGCCCTAACTTATCCAATTATCCAGGCTTAACCTGGAGGTATAGATTTCCTGCAGGAAGTTACTAGAGTCTTGTTTCCTCATCCCCACCCACCCCCCAAGCCCTCAAGATTTGCTCACCTGGTTCTTCCACCACATACAGAATGGACTTGCCACTGGAGTCTTCATAATACTGGAATCTGACCACACAGTCATCTTCATTCTTGTAGGTACAATTCACTGCATTCTTCCCAGTGTCCCCTGAGGAGCAGAGGGGTAGATATAGAAAAACGAGTCAATTCTTAGAAGATGGGTTCAGCCCCTACTTAAATATCAGTCACAAGACTTACGAGAATGTGTACATCAGGAAACCCTATGTTTGACATTAAGCATAAAGCCTAGATTTCAGATAGCTTTTGTGTCTGGCAATTGCTTCCGGATGATTCCCAATGAGGGATTTTGTCCTTCACAGACCCCCTTTAATCCTTACTGTACAACATCATGGCTTACAGACCCACTTTAATCCTTCCTTACTGTACAAGATTATGGCTTATGATGCTAATCTAGCTCAAAGCTTAGTTCAAAGCCTCGCTGTGCACACCAACCAACCATGCGGTCTTGGATAAGTTACTTGACTCTCCCTGAGTCTCCCTTTGGTCACTGTAAATGGAAAATAATATTCTCACTTCACAAGATTATGATGAGAATTAAAATGGCATCAATTGAACAGTACCAAACAGTCAGTAGGTATTTCCTTTCCTCTCTTGCTTTTTTCACCTTGGCCAATGATTTTTAATCGTTTCCACACATGATTTGGAAGCAGGAGTGGCATCCACTTCCTAAATGGCATACCTCCAGAAACTCTATGAACTTTGATAAATGTTGGAAGTTATAGAGGAGCTTCGGGCCTTTTGTTCACAGGGTCGCTGTGAGTCATGCTCGACTCAAAGGCAATCAACAACAACAAAACGTAAGTTTCTACTTCTTCTATTTCTGTTTCTGATCCATGGTGCCTCTAAGTAATTATCTTCCTTTTGACTCCTACCATATTTTCTAGGTGTCGTGTCTTCTAGTTCTAAAGCCTGTTAGTCTGCCAGTGAAACCACGGGTTAGACTCCACGAGCTGCACTATGTCTTGCACTGATTAATCCCAACGGATAAACACGATGCACAAGAGATTAAGCAAATGTATGAAAGTCACACAGCAAAGAAAGGATGGAGCAGGGCTATAACACGGGTCTCAAAGGACAGTCTACTAGCTTAAACTCAACAAGCCAACTGAGTACCACCTACAAAACTTGGACCCCGAAGGCATCGAAACACAGGAGAGAGATTAAGGATTTAAAGATGTACTCTAACTCACTACTTCCTCACTTGCGCAAATTCCTTTCCCGGGTCTCAAATTCCTTATCCACAAAATGAAGATAGCAATAGCATATACTATACTTCTACTTTATTAAGCTGTGTAGAGATAAGCAAGGTGATATGTGTTGAAGATACACTTATCTAAGTGAATATCTTTATGAAAGACATTTTTACACATTATAAAATTCCATACAAAGAAGCATGTATTATAATGATTCTTGGAGTGGAAAGTGAGAGAATCGTTTATCAACTCACTTGTTATACATACCTGGTCCACATCATAAAACACCTCAGTAGCCCCTCCCCTCTGAACCAACCATAGCAAGCTCTGACTTTTTCAGAGGACAAAGTGCCTCTGCAAATTCCATCCTCAAATAGCTACCCTCACTCTTGTCTCTGATATTATCAAGGAATCCAGACATCGTTGTTTTCCATAAGACATCCCCACTCACCCACAAACTGACTGACTGGCTGTTCCTTATTGTAGCTCTCACTGAAAGCATGTTTCCTGTCTTTGTGGGACATTGCTATCTCTGGAGAGATCCCCATCTCCCTGCCCTCACTCAGTACTCAGCTAACCCAGATAACCATATCAGATGAGCCGACAGCAGCAAAGCTCACTTCCTTTAAAGTCAAGATGAAGTATAGTCCAAAATATTTCAACTAAGCACTTTACTTTTCACTATATTTCTGTTGTGTTCAAGGAAGGGCTCCAGGCAGCCAGAAAGGCTTAAGGAGATAGATTTGGTGACAAATCTCCTCTAAAAAAGAGGGATTTGTCACTAAATTTCCAGTGCTTTAGCCCCAATGGTGTGATTATTAAACACTATTGGTCAACTATGTCCAATTGATAATCATCATGGATAGCCATCAACCAGTTTCTTCATTTGTGAAAGGAAACTTCTTTACCTTCCTGCTCTTGGGGAAGTGGGACTAAGTTACCAGATGCACAGATACTTTAGAAGTTATTTGTAGGGCCTTGCTCAGGCTGTGGGCTCTGGAAGCAAAAAAGTCAAGGGCTGCTGAATAATTACTAGGCATTCAAGAGGACTTTGAGGAAAGTCAGTGTTTAGTAAATTCCCCTAGGAGCTCTCGTTGATAAACCAGGTATACAAAGTGTTGATACATCAGGTATACAAAAACAAGCTAGCTTGATCTACTACTATACCAGGTATACTAACCTCTGGCATATCAAGTCAAGTACTGAGCTGCTAATCAGAAGGTCAACGATTGGAACACACTATCATCCTGCAGAAAACATATATGGCAATTGCCTTTAGTAAAGATTAAAGCCTTGGAAAGCCTATGAGGCAGGTCTCATCTGTCTTATACAATTGCTATGAATCGGTATCTACTCTATGGTAGTGAGTCTAAGAGTGGGTTTGTTTGCTTTGCTTTGTGGATCAGCGAGGAGTACTGGTAGTATAGTAGGTTAAGTATTCAGGTGGTTGTAGCTGTTGTTGTTGATTGCCTTCCAGTTGAGCACAACTCATAGTGACTCCATGAACAAAAGGCCTGAAGCCCCTCTACAACTATCGGCATTTATCAAAGTCCAAGCATTTGGGTACTAACTGAAAAGTCAGTAGCTTGAATCTGTAACAGAAAACTGAGGCAGTCTGCTTCCATAAAAATCTAGAGATTTAAAGCAACTATGAGATCTCATCTCACCCCAGTAAGAATAGCAAAATTTAACAGGACAGCAAACATCAAATGCTGGCGAGGTTGTGGAGAACCTGGAACCTTTATTCCTTGTTGGTGGGAGTATAATATGGTACAACCACTATGGAAGGCAGTATGGTGCTTTCTCAAAAAGTTGCAAATAGAAATACCATTTGATCCAGCAAGTCCACTAATGGGAATTTACCCTAAATAAACCATAACTGCCACCCAAGCAGATATAGGCACGCTCATGTTTATTGTGGCTCTGTTTGCAATAGCAAAGAGTTGGAAACAACCCAAGTGCTCATAAACAAACGAATGGATAGAGAAGCTCTGGTATATTCACACAATGGAATACTATACAGCATTGAAAAACAAGGAACTCAGATACTATAAAAAATGGATGACCCTTGAGGACATTATGCTGAGTGAAATAGCTCAGTCACAAAAGGACAAATATTGCATAGGACCACTGTTGTAAAATGGGACTGACATCAGGGTTGAGGGAAGACAGAAAAGGAGAGGAGGAATGATGTATATTGCATTGAAACAGATGAGGGAGGGAACTGTTTAAAAGGGATATATGATTGGGTATTCTTGTCATTACAGAAGTCCAGAGTGAAGGCTGCATAGCGGAGTGGACTTGAGGGGTGGGACTGCATAACAATGAAAGAGTTTTTCTTTTCAAGGAGAAGAGTGAATTGGGGGAGGTGGGGGCGGGCAGGGAGAAAAGTGCAATAATGAATGACTGGAAACCCTAAGTCTCTGTAAACTTTGACTAAAATAAATTTTTTAAAAAGGCAAAAAAGTGAACTGGGGAGGAACAAGGGAGGGCAAGGAGGTAAAATGTATAACAATGAATAAATGAAAATCTAGCTTCTCTATTATGTTTGTTAAAATCACAATTAAAATAAAATTTTATTTTGAAAAAATCTGGAGATTTAAGAACCCTACTCTTGGGCGTATCAGGCCTACACAAAATTCTTATGAGGCAGGAATTATTGTTTCAATTTGCATAAGAGTTGGAGAGGTTCTGTCATGAAATCAAAGAGTTTTGAACCTGGGTGTGTGGGACTCTACAGACAGCACACTTACTAAGCTCCTTCACGGGCTCAATCTCATCACGGCAGTAAAGGTTACACGTGTTTTCCTCGTGCAGTTCTCCTCGTTCAAACCTCCTACATTCCACACAATTCCTAAAGAGAGAAGAAATGTGGATTAAGGTAAGAAAGGAGCCAACGTGAGTGAGTTCTAGCTCAGCTCTGGCCTCCAAATGAGTTTAAATGATCTGATTCCATTTTGAAAAGGAAAAAAAAAAATCTGGAAGAAAATCCTGAAAGTCCACATAGTTAATTCAGAGGTTCAGGTAGAGTGCCCTCCTCAGTCACAGTCACAGGCCCCAGATTCTTCATTAAATTTCCTTATAACACATACCCAGAGCTGTGACATCAAGGCAAACAGTATATCAGTTCTAGGAACTTATCATCAAAACTAATTACATTCTTTGAGGGCCCCTTATTCAATAGTTACTAAGAGTTTCAAAATAGCAATAGCAGAGTGGTCAACCTAGTTGAACCTAGTGTAGTGGATTGTTCAACATGACTTTTCTAGTTTTTTTTCTTTGCTACTGTCACCACATGGCTGGGTAGAACTACACAAATGTTACGTATTTGTGGATAGCTTGCTAATAATTTCAATATGGTAAATAGTGCTTTTCACGTGGGGCCATGCAAATAAGATGTGCAGAATGCTAATCTGATGGAGAAACAACTATGAGTTGCTTCTAACTCAACGGCCCACAACAACAAGTGGAGAAGCAGTGAATGTTTGGAACAGACAATTGATGTTAGAATTGTTGAAAATGGTGGGGAGAATGGAGACAGGTTTGACCTCATAGGAATTGGCTTAATGTTGATGCTACTGATGGTAGGCGTTCTTCTGTGTGAAGTTACTGTTGTTAGGTATGACTCATAGTAACCCTATGAACAATAAATCTGTACCCTGTCCTATTCTGTGCCATCCTCATAATTTCTGATATACTTAAGACCATTGCGCACACGTTGTAGAGAAAGTGCAGTCAGAATGCTCCTTGGAGACAAAGATGGCAAAGCTCTGCCTTGCATACTTTGGATATGTTGCTAAAAGATGCTTCCTTGGGAAGTTAGAACAGTTGAAATTTTTCCATGTTCACGCCTTCTATACAGGCATCTGCAAGCAAAGGGCTCTACTTAACTACACAGGCCAGGTGTGCCTCTCAGAATATAAAGAACAATGGCATTGCCGTTGTCTTGTGCTGACAGGGCTTCCTCTGACCCTCAGTGGATCTTTCCTGGTGAAGTTTCCTCGTCTCACACAGTATCCACAACTCCAACCCCACACTTGTCCCAGAATCAAAAAATCAGCATTGGGCTTAATGTCCTAAAGATTCAGAATCTGGCTCTAAAATTCACCACCATCAAGTCAGTTCAGACTCCTGACAAATTTGTTGGACCCTCTAAAGAGGAGACCTGTCTCTTACTAGTTTCTGAAACTTTCAACCCTTCAGAGAGACTTCTCAGCTTTCTCCCAAGGAGAGGCTGGTGGGCACCGACTTCCAGTTTTGTGGTTGGTGGCTAGAGGCATTTGTTACTGTGTCACCAAGACTCCTTAAGTACCCCTCAACTAATTTCTCTAACTGGAGTCCAGCTTACACTATTTTGGCCCTGCTTACAGCTATCCCCCCTCAGACACTCTGAATGAAACTGAGGAACAAGCCATATGGTTCGCAGACTCCTCTCCCTAAAGCACTGATGAATAAGAGACAAGCCTGTGAAGCCTGTCGCACTCCCCAGCCTCCTAACTGTCTCCGAGCTGCCACTCACTTCTTAAAGGTGCAGGCATCAGGGCAGGTGGGACACTTCTCACAGGTGTCCCCATAGGAGCCTGGCTGGGTGCACATGCAGCTGCCACATTCACACTTGCCCCGGCCGCTGCACAGCAGCCCGTTGGTGGACATGCAGGAGTCGGTGCGTGTGGTACAGTTGCAGTAGTAGCCAGTCCAGTCGGAGTCACAGAGGCAGTCCCCACAGCTGCATTGGCCGTGACCTGAAAGCAGACAGCCCGCAGGGATGAACCAGCTGGTGAGGTTCCCACTCTGCTCCCCAACCAGACGGGAAATAATACTCCTGTTTGGCAAAGAACTAGATCACCCTTAGTGGGAGGCCTAGCCAGTTGGGAACACACTCAAGAAAATGGGATTTCCATTGAAAATGGGATTTCCATTGAATAATTCATACATTTTTGTTTTACAACATTATAATACATGGTGATCGCATACTTCTTGCAGGACTTAGATCTAACTCACAGAGGAGCACAGGAGTCTTGAAAGCTAAGCCTGACTAGAAATGTGCTCCACAGAGTTTTCAATGACGAGTTTTCAGCATTAAATCGCCAGACCTTTCTTCCAAAGCAGCTCTGGGTGGACTCACAAGCCAACCTTTCAGTTAGCAGCCAAATGCATTAACCATTTGTACCATCCAGCGACTCTTGGGGTGAGAGCGAAAGGTGTAAAATGCTTAAATGCAAGCATTGACTCACAATGCCACATGCCTCTAAATCGTCATTAAACCAGCCTGGGTCACCGTGAGTTGGAATCCATTGGACAACAACACGTTTGGGAATTTTCAGATCTTCAAACAGGAGCCCTGTGCAAAGATTAACTCATTCCCCATCTCTCTGAATCAGGAAGGAGTGGATGTATAATAAAAATCTATTAATCAGAGGAAAGGTAGAGGCCAAGGAAGGAAGTAACCCGAATTGTCTAAAACCACAACACTATGTGAACTGAAGGGCCCTGGGGAGAGAGTGGTGCAGGTCAGGCTCCGGCTACAGCCAGCCTGCATTTCCCCCACCTGTACTCACTGGATCCAAGCTAGTGTTTCTTCACTGCTGTGAGCCCCACCACCAGTGACCCCAGCACCAGTCTCTAGTAACTACAGGGACATTCAAGATTCAGACACATCCTGACAGCCTTGGAAAGGCATGTCTGTTCCCTAGGAATGATGGGGATCACACCCAGCTGCCAATCTGGAAAGCAGATGCCAGGCCAGCAAGAGCTGAGGACCAAGAAAAGGGCTTAGGTAGGGTGCCCCAGAAACACAACTTTTGTTGAGGATTCTTGTCCAAGTGATTTACCAGCCAGGTGGAAAGGAATGAGGAGGCCAGCAGGATAGGCCAAGGAGTTAAAAGCTGGCAGAAGTGTGGTCTCAGCCAGGGATCCACTTCAGTCCAGTTGCATGGTTGGCTCTGTGCCATGAATAGTACCACTGAGTTAGTTCCACCCCTCATAGTCTTTTATGTATCATTCTGAGGTCCCTGATTGGCAAAAATGGGTAATCACTAGGCTATTAAGTCAAAGGTTGAAGGCTCAAACCCATCCAGAGTCACCTTTAAGGCCAGGCCTAGGAATCTGCTTCCAAAAGTCCCTAGAGCAATTCTACTACGTATACTTGAAATCAACGTGAGTCAAAATCAACTCAACAGCAACAAATAGCTCAGTCATTAACCATGATGTGAAAGCAAGGCTGACTTTCTGTCAGCCGAGTGGGCCCCGCAGCATCTCCTCGGCCTGGCGTTCAGCCATGGCTCACAGATGGGGAAAGGCCGACACCACGGTTGCCAGCAGCACTGAGGCTTCAGTCTCCTCAGAAACATTTGCCCCATAGTATTTCCTTTGTGAAGCTAAACAAAGCTGTCTTTGAGATATCTGCCAGGCCAAGCAGGGAGTGAGGTCAGGAGTGGAAATGGCAGCCAGAGCCAAAAGGCTGACCCTAAACCTTGGCAGGGTCAGTTCCTGAAGGAAGCCACAGGATGAAAATGTCACGCTACTGGCACTCCTCCAGCAAAAGGGAGACTGAGTCTGAGTCCTGGACGAAAGTTGAGCAGGCAGTGAGAAATGAAGAAAATACAAGACAGAGGAGGATCAGGAGGGAAAGGAAGGGAGAGAGAGAAGGGGTACAGATAGGAGGAGCTAGCTTCTTAGGCCAGAGGAAATGCAATGACTTTCCCTGTGCGGCTAGGCCTTCCGGGTACTAACGTGTCATTCACCTCTCCTTTATGAGCTAATTCTTCCTTGGGGTATATCAAACATCCCATCTCCTCTATGAAGCTTTCCAGGCCTCCCTTATCCATAACGGGCCTCTCTCTGGTGGATACGTCACTTTTGGCAAATTCTGCCTTGTATCATGAATTATCCTTTGCTAAATCAAAGAGTGGTGGTTTCTGGGAGTTGCTGTCAAGTTTATTCCAACTCATACCCGGTTTACAGAGGATGCCTGATCAATCTACGTTCGTGGGTGATACTGCACATAAAAGAGTACCAGGAGCATAAGGATGCCCTCCTGGGGCTGGAGGCAGGAATACAAATAATGGACAGATACAAAGCCCAGGCCTGCAGTGCGCAGGGAGCGTGGAGGCTTGGCAGGAAACCGGCCACCTTGCTTAGAGACTAGGGGATAGGGACATGACCAACACCTTGCACTCCACCTCGTGAGTCCCTGGGTGTGGCACAGGCCAGACCACAGGGCACACAGCTCCAGGCAGGGACAATGACAAGCTGGGCTGTGAGCTATTCACCGAGCTGACATTCATGGCCATGGAGTTAGAACCAACTCATAGCTGACCCTCCAGTGGGTTTTCAAAGGCTGTAAATTGCATGGGAGGAGATTACCCATCTTTCCCCTGAGGAGCAGCTAGTGGATTTGAACCATCAGAGAGGTGATGTATGGATTACTTCAGAGTTCCTATCAATGCTTAGGTGTCAGGAATCATGAGCTACATCTACAAACACTGAGTCCTTGGTCCAGAACAGGATTACAAGGAACATGTGTGTCCTCGAGCATCAGTCACTGGAGAATGTGACGACAGCACCACAGGCCCCAGACCTGAGGCCCGCTAGGCATCAAAACCAATGAAAGGTGGCAAGTGTGGGTGATGCAGGTGGCGGGGGGGGGGGGACTGCAGGGAGGCTGGTGCAGCTGTCAGGGGCTCCCTCATGAGTTAGACAAGGGCACTCTGAGGACAAGCTGTTCTTGCCCTGGTGGGAGGCAGGAACTGGGGCTGCTGACCGGGGCAGCTTTGTTTTGTGGCTTCAATGGGGCTGGTGGCCAAAGGAAATACTCTCAGCTGGGATCTCTCCCATAGTGCCTCACACCAGACCAAGCAAGGAAGCTGGCCTCCCTTCATCCCTGGGGCCTCACTAGGCGGTCTCTAAGCTTCTCCTCTCTTCCCCGTAGTCTCCCAATCTTCTTCCCCAGGAGATGGCCACCTCAAACTTACTCCTTTCCCCTGGTACTTTGAATATGACATGAATATCATTAAATATTAAAAATGTACTGCTGTAGTTTTAAGTGTACATCTGTGTGTACCTTCCCTCTTTCATCACTAAACTCTCATATCTACTTCTTCTAAACTCTCTCCAATCCTGTTGCTATAAAGAAAGAAGCATCATGCAAATAATAAAAAAGGAGTTGTTTTATACTCTTTTAGAATGCTTCAGAGAGCCACAGAATTACCTCTCTGATCAATACCAATATTAACACAAAAGTAATCCGTATGGATTAGCTCAGCTGTCAGGACTCTATGCTAATGAAGCCAATTGGGTCAGAGATTTGATCAACATAAGAACCGATCACTGGTGGGGGGGGGAGAAGAACGAACTGGGGAGGAGAGTGGAGAAAACAGTGCAACAATGAATGAATGAAAACCCAAAATCTCTGTAAATGTTCATTAAAACTAATAAAATTTAATAATAAAAAAAAAAAAAGAAACGATCACTCTGCTCCACAGAATACAGTCATGAGCCAGTCCCACCAGCATGCCAATGCCTGGCCATCAAATGGTCATTTAGAGGAATTAAGCCAGAGTTACGCTATGACCCAGGAAAAATCTATCTGCAGATACAGATACTGTTCTCAGGAACAGTCCGTACTGCCCACTTGTCCTCTGAGAACGGTGTCTGTATGCCTGCACGTCGCAAAACGATATTAAAATCCATTCCGTTTCTAGTGAGGGAAGTATCCAGGGAATACTGACACAATGAGCAACCAGCCTGGGATTATCCATCAACCTCCAGACTTTACTGAATCTCACAATGAGAACAACTCAGCATCTTGAAGGTAGAATGGTTGAAAGCTGTGACTCACCGTCTGGATGTCTGAGTGGCAGCACTGTCCTTTAAGGTTCTGCAATCTTGAAATGTACTAACCCTGCACTCTCTGGTATGGAGCCCTGGTGGTGCGGTGGCTAAGGTTCTTGGTTGCTAACTGAAAAGTTCAAAGTCCAAATCTGCCACCAATTGCACTCCGTCATACAGAGTCACTATGTGCTGGAATCAACCAGATGGCAACAGAATTGATTAGGTTTGGTTTAGCCACATGTAACTACTGAGAAACAAATGTTTTCCTCTTCTTTTCATTTAAACAATAATGGCCAATGTGACTACCATACTGGACAACGAGATCTAGAACCCCTGAAAAAAACACCATTAGTTCTCACAGTCATAACAAAATAATGCTTAACATTGAGCAATGGCTTACTATCTTTCAGTATCATACTAAATATATTATACCTAACTAGTCAGAAATGAGTCAAACTGCTAACTCAAAGGCCACATCCGTCTGGTGGTTCAAATCCACCAACAACTCCAAGGGAGAAAGATGAGCCATCTCCTCCCATGTGTGTAACTTACAGCCTCAGAAAACCAACAGAGGCCAGCTTTGGGTCAGTTCCAACTCAACAGCAACGTGTTTTGCTTGAGTTCATAGAGTTGCCCTGCTAGCTCAAAGGCCAAGATTCCTGGGAGGTTTGAATCCTCTAGTGGGTCCAAGGGAGGAAGATGAGTAATCTCTTTCTGTTCCATTTACAGCCTCGTAAACCCAATTGGTCATCAGCTATAACCTGGATCCCATTCAATAGCAATGAATGGGAACCGTATCTAAGCCCACTTCTGCCGGGCCAGTTTCAACTCCTAGGGATCCTCCACTGGGTTAACAAGGCTGTCAGTCTTTCCTGGAAGAAGTTACCTGTCTTTCTCGTATGGAGCACCCGGAGACCTGAACTGCTGACTTTCAGCTGGTATATTATACTCTTCACCACCAAAGCCTCCTTCTCTAACTACCCACAAATAAACACTATTTTCCAAGTCTCTTGGGATGAAACTATAAAATTCATATACATTTTTCACTAACTTCACCTACTTTCTGAGGCAAGTATTTTTTAAAATCCATAAATATTAAAGATGTAATCTCCATCAATCAGATTAAATTTTTAAAGCCTACAGAAAAAGAGTTGGTATACTCAAGATTAGGAACTTTAGAAAATTATTATTTAGAAAATTATTAACTTTAGAAAATTAGCAGGGGGAGGAAATCTTTTTTTTAAAAAAAATCAAAATTCACTTGAGATTTCCCCACTCCTTCCCCTTCTATTCTGGGAGAGAAATAGAGGTTCATTTCTTGTACCCTACAAAGGAGGACATGAGGAGGGGCAAAGTCCTTGGTTTTGGTCATTAGGATGGGACAGCATCTGTGCACCTCTGCTCCCTGGGCTCCTCTGACCTAAAGAAAGGTGCCCCCACCTCAAGTCTTTGGCTAAGTTTCCAGAGGCTATAGGTGTGTGTGGAGGGAATTGGAGTGATGGAGATCGGTGGGTCACACAGTTCTGCTCACCTGAACACATCTCCCCTTTGTAGCGGACACAGGAGAAGTCATCACACTCACAGTACTTGCCCGTAATCTTGCCAAAGTCACTGCTGTGGCAGACACACTGGCCACATAGGCACTCGCCCCTCTGACTGCAGATGGGCTGGCCTTGCTTGGGGCTGCACTCGTCCTGCTGCGAGGGGTGGTAGTCCTCCTCTGAGCACTCACACTGGGGCCCCAGCCAGCCTGGCCCACAGCGGCACACCCCACACTCGAAGGTCCCATTGCCATTGTTGCATTGGGAACTGTGAGGCTGAGCCCAGCCCTGACAGGCACAGTCACAGTTGAAGGTGACCTGGACGGTGAGGCTGTCTTTGAAGCCCACAGGTTTGATGGTGAAGGACTTCTCCTTCTCCTGGGGGCAGCCACGCACCTTGGCCTCAATGCTGAAGCTCACCTGGACAAGAAGCAAGATCATATTTAGACAGAAGTGGGTCCTGGAGGAAAAGCAGCTTTCCCTGTTCCATGGGAAAACAAACCCAAACAAAACAAAACCCACAAAACCCCAAAATCCAAACCCTACTGCCATGGAGTCAGTTCCAACACAGTGACCCTCCAGAGGGTTCCCAAGGCTGTTTCCAAAAAGGAGACTGCACATCCTTCTCCCACTGAGCAGCCAGTGGATCTGAACTGCCAACCTTTCAGTTAGCAGTAGGTTAAACGTTAAGTGCTGAACTGCTAACAGAAAAATCAGTAGTTTACACCCATTAGCTGCTCCATAGGAGAAGATGAGCAATCTCTCAATAAGATTTACAGCCTCAGAAACCCAATGATGGGTTGCTCTGAATCTGTGGGTCCCACCATCAAGTCCCAATGAGCAAGGTAAGTATAGTTCATGTGCAGCCTGACTGATCTAAAGTGAATAGTTTCACAAGAGTTCATCACATCATGTTTCCACCTCCCCCTTTCTCCTTAGGTAAAAACAGAGGATAAACCATTAAGGAAAGTCCTGGAAGAACTGGAGAAGCAAAATGAACATCTGTATGTTTCAATTCCTTAAAGGCAAGTATCCTGGCCTGTTGTTTTGATGCTGAACCTTCAGTGGCTCGAACAATGCCTAGTACATGTTGTTGCTGTTAGGTGCTGTCTAGTTGACTGGCTCACAGCAAACCCATGTGACAGGGTAGTGACAAGGTAGACCTGCCTTTTAGTAAAGTTTTCTAAGCTGTAATCACTACAGGAACAGACTGTCAAAACTGTTTTTCCTACAGTCACTGGGTGAGTTTGAATCACTATCCTTTGGGTTGACAGTCAAGTCCTTAATCATTGAGCCACCAGAACTCCTCGTGTGGCATGTCGCCTCAGTAAATACCTATAGAGTGGAAGACCCTGCCATTTCACACTGGTCACATAAGGAAAACAGGGCAATGTTTGAGTGTGTCGGAGATTGGTTAGGGGCTGAAGGTTAGAAATATGCTTGTCTACTATCACCTCTGCAGATAGAGATATCCTAAATGCACATCAAAAAGCCAAAAACTGGCAAGCTCTGGTGGCCTAGTGGCAAGAAGCTGCACTGCAATCCCAGAGGTGAGCAGTTCGAATCCACCAGATGCTCTGCTGGAGAAGGAGGGACAATCTCATCCTGTACCAGTCAGATCTGATTTGACCACACACACACACACACACACACACACACACACACACACAAATGGCCAAAAACTCCTAAAAGAAAATTTCATTTAATAGAAAGAGAAAGCCTAAGCTTTTCCTTAGAGGAAAATGTCAGGCATTCCCATTACATCTAACTTTTGATTCCCTTCAGGAAGTATAGGGAAGGAGGAAGGCAGGACAATGCTCTGATTTTGTGGAGTCAGAGATATACCTTCAGCCTGACCCAGCCCACCTCACCGTGTCTCCAATCTTGAGTCCCACACAAGACTTGAGGCCTGGGATGACCTCGTCGTTGAGGCATGTGGCGTTGAAGGACAGAGACAATTCCTCAGGGAGGTCACGCACTTCCAGTTCTACTTTAGAGCGGATTTTCTATGCAGAAAGGGGCAACAGAAGGTAAGAGATTGGGCTGAGAGAAAATGAACAAGAGCCAGTTCTATCCCAAGCCCTGGATGCATCCTGGCTGGGACAGATGCTGATGTTTACCTGGAAAGATCCAGAACACATCAGGAACCTCTGATTCTTCCTCTGTTTCCTGCCCTGGAAACTGCTCCCTCTCCCTGTCCCCCTCTTGCATTTAGGCAAGTATGAGTGAAATCTAAACCACCCCCCACTTGCAGACCTTGTGGGTACACAGAAGGGGAGAGTTAATATTAACTACCTTGGGTCATTAGTAAAACTCTCTAGTATAACACTCTATGTCAACCTTGGCTGTCCCTTGAATCAGCAACTTCTTTTTCTCTGTTGTTGGGAGCCCAGTGTTCCTTCCATCTAAATCTCACAATCTCATGGCCCTGCATTCCTTCAATCTCATCCTCCAATCTCTTCATCTAACCAAGACCTCCATCCATCCATCCATCCACCCACATCCCCTCTTTCCCTTTCACCTTCTCTAAACTCACCACCCTCTTTCCCAGCTGGTTCTTTCCTAGACATTTCTTTACTAAAAGGTTGCAACTCTCTCTAGTACTAGTCTTTACCTGGCCTCTGGGCATATAAAATAAATGCAGAAAATCTACTTTGGAGAAGCCAGTACCTCCAAACCTAAGCCCTGCTGGGTGATAAATACCGAGTGAGATGAATTCTTGGTGAGCCAGCCCATTCATTCCCCACTGAAGATGCTCACCCCATAGGCATCAACGATGAGCTGAAGGACATTGCTGGAATCTTTGGACAGAACCCCTACTGTGGTCCCCGGGATGAGTTCACTGTAATTCTAAAAGAAAAAAAAAAGATGTTTAAAACTTACTAGAAGAAGGTGGTGGTCTCCAAAGGCCTTCCACAAATCAGACTGTAGGTTTTGAAATGAAGGTACTGAATATTTTCTTTGTTGCTACCAGTGGTCTTTTCAGTCCTGAGCAAAATTATAGCAGACCTTTCCCATCCCTCACCCCTGTGAATGACCTCCCTGCCAACACTGAGAGTAACAAGGCACCTCTCCACACAGGGTCAAGGTTGGACGGGAGAGGCTCGCAGAGAAGAATTTTTAATGAGATGGATAGATACAGTGACTGCAGCAATGGAATCCATGTGTCAGAGATGGTAAGGACAGCACAGGACACGATAGGGTTCAGATCTATTATTACAGGGTCACAGGGAGTCTCACTTGACTCGGTAGCACCTCACAACAACAGGAGACAAGCCGAAGAGGGAATTTCCTAGTTGAAGATAGTGAATAATGCCACCATGAGGTGGCCCCCTGGGCTAGCTCCCATGTTTGAGCCCACCCATCACAAGTCCCACTCCAGGAAGACCCAAGAGCAAAGTCACCTGGTAAAGATTGACAACGTTCTCAGTCACTGCAAAGATCAAATTGATGTTATTCTGTGAAAGCTTCTCAGTCATCAATCCCAGAGAGGGATAATCCTTAAAAAGAGAGAGAATTTGGGGTTAGTAAGAGAGTAGGCGCTCTGGTGGTGCAGTTGGAAGGGTGATGAGCGTTTGACCCAAAGGCCATGCCACGTCAGTGGCTCCTCTCGGAAAAGATGGGCAATCTTCTCTCATGCACTTTACAACCTCAGAAAACCTACTGGAGGCTTAGCTCTGCATTGGTTTGACTCAACAGCAATGAGTACTTTCAGATAGGAAAATCTGATGGTATTTGGCTATTAACCAAAAGGTTAGCAGTTCAAATGCACCTAGTAGCTCCACAGAAGAAAAACCTTGTGATTTTTTTTTTCTTCACAAAAATTACAGTTCAGAAAACTCTAAGGGGCAATTCTACTCTGTCATACAGGGTTGCCATGAATCAAAACCAACCGGATGGCACCTAACAATAGAGAAATTCACATAGTATTTTAGATTCCAAGTCTTAGAGATCAGAACTTTGCACTGTGAGTCAGACACAGAGTAGTGCAAGAAGTTATGTAACAGCTCACTTTTTACCAAACCTAGTGGTGAACTTCAGGGACAAAAGAGTTACAGGCTGGTATCAAAACTGAGCCCTTGATTCTTGCTGTTGTCAAGTGCCAACTAATCAACTACGACTCATATTGACCCTATGGACAACAGGTCAGAACCTTGCTCTATCCTGAGCCATCCATATGCTCGCTGATAAGCTTGAGCCCATTTTACAGTCTCCATATCAATCTGTCTTGTTGACCGTTCTTTTCTCAGACCCTACACCTTTCCCAACATGATGTCTTTTTTCAAGGACTGATTCTTCTTCACAATAGTCCCAAAGCAGGTGAGTTTCACCATCCTTGTCGCTAAGGAACACCCTGGTTGCAATATCTTCAGGACAGATGTGTTTCTTTTGTTGGCAGTCCATGGGGCAATTACTCTTCTCCAATACCACAATTTAAAGGTACTGATTCTTCGTCTGTCATCCTTATTCATTGTCCCACTTTCAGATGCATAGGAAGTATCTAAAAACACTTTGGTTTGGATTGGGTACACCTTAGTCTCTAAACTGATATCCTTGCTCTTGATGACTTCAAAAAGGTCTTTATTCTTGCTACTCTATTTCAAGGCTTTAACACTACACAGCAGATTCCAGACATTAGGCTGGGTTTCATTGTTACAATTACGTGGACCTCATAAGTCTCCACTACTTGATCTCAACTTATGTCTCTAATCATTAGCTTGTTGCTCTTTCACTGTCATCCACCCACCACTGGCCTGGAACAATCACTTTCTCTCATCCTTCTAGTCCCAACTTCTCCTTGGCCATTTCAGTTTGTCATTAGGTTTCCTTCTTTGACTACCTATTGTCATTATTTACTATGCCACTCATTTAACACTAATCGTTGTTGTTGTTGTTATGTACCACCGAGTTGGAACCAACTCATATGTGACACTCCAGTGAGAATTCAGAAGCAGAAAATCACATCATTTTCACAAGACTGCTCACCCTTCTCCCTCAGAGCAGCTGGGATCGCAGCACAGCTCTTTACCACTAAGCCACCGGAGACCCCTAATCGTATACTTTATGTCTTATTTTCCTCAACCAAACCAACAATTTCTTAAAGGTAAACCTTAATCTCTTTGTCTCCTTGTTACGATGTCTTACACAGATTTGATGTCAAAGGTCGCTGATTCATTCACTGCCTGGTACTGATCAAATATGGTTCACATCCGGGAACCCAAGCAGCACAGAGGACGGTAGTAAATTGTGAACATTTTCATGAAATCTTGAATCTAGAAATCAGCCTGGAAGATCACCCAGCTCGGCCTTCTGCCTTTACATGGGTGTATATCTAACTAACTAGTCTAGTAGCTACTATAATTGTCTTTAAGAGCTGAAAATGTCATACTTCCCTCCAGATACCTAGGATATCAGCATTCTGAAGGTAAACATATTTTTCTTATAGCTTACAGCAACTTCTCCTTTTTGAACGTACCTGCTCTTCTTATTTGGGAGCCCTAAAGGCATAGTGTGTTAAATGTTGGACTGTTAACCCAAAGGTCACTGGTTCAAACCCACCAGCTCTTCCATAGGAGGAAGATCGGAATCTGCTCCCATAAAGATTTACAGCTCAGAAATTCTACGGCAAAGTTGTCTGTCCTGTGGGGTCACCGTGCATCAGAATCAACTCAAGAGCAGTGGGACTGGTCCTCTTCTTTAACTTGTTAGGACCATGGAAAATAATTTGTAAGATGTTTTCTCATGCATCAACTAGATCATCTACTGGTATTCACCTTCTATTTTAAAATTGTGATTGGAGTGATAGTTTACAAAGAAAATTTATTTTACACTCAACAATTCATAAATTCAATTTTACAACATTAATTACAATCCCTACATTGTAACAGCACTCTTCCTGCTTCTGTTCTGTGATTCTCATTTCTATAAATCCCTCTATCCTCTGCCTTCTGCCTTCTCAGATTTATCCCTGGGCAAATGCTACCCTTTTTGACCTTGTATAGTTCACTACTCTGAGGAGGGAGTGGTATAGCTCCCTGGCGTTACCATTTATCTTATAGACCTAACTACTGTTTATTCTTAAGTTGAGCCATGGGAATAAATTTAGTTCCAGACTCAAAGAGTGACTACGTCTTCGAGTTTCCAACAGTATCTATCAGGCCAGTAAGCCTCATCATTTTTGTAATTTTGAATTTTGCTCCACATGTTTCTTCCATGCTGTCCAGGACTTCTACTGTGATTCCTTTAAGAGTGGTGACTAGTGTTCAGGTATTACCTACTTCCTCTCGTTACTTGGGTCTTCTTAGTATCAAACTAAATTACTTTTATTCCCTTGTTGTTGTTGTTTGCTGTTGAGGCAGAGCTGACCCACCAGTGGGTTTTCAGAGGCAGTTAAGTACATGGAAGGAGACTGCCAGGCTGCCCAGCAGGGCACCCAGCTGAGTTAAGTGTGCCTTTGGGATTGAAGTGTAGATTCTAACCGCTAAGCCATCTTTCCTTATAAGACCTACTCTCCATGCTTTCAATGATCTGCCCCTTTTTCCAACAATCACAAGTTAACACGGTGTTCCAGAAGGGGATAAACAAGAGAGAGTGGAGATGAATAGTTTCTTCCCAACTGAACCTGTGAGAGTCCTTTGGGTTCTTTCTGCACACCATGATACTGTGGCTGGTGCTGGCAGTGGAGGTGGTGATGGCACTGACCACAGACAGAACCACTGCTAATGTTTCTGGAGGCTATTCCCTGGATAAAGGTGTCCAGTAGGGGACAGGAAACTGAAACCAAGTCCTATGCCTATCCACTGGGTAGGGCTGCCATTTTCATATTCATACAATAGCAATGCTTGAGTTAAGGTATTGAGAATAGGACCACAGACAGTGCCAGAAATCTCACCATGGTAGTGGAGGCAGAGTAATGGTTGTCAGCGCCAATGTGGCACTGCCCATCATTGGGCTGGACAATTCCTGCCAGTCTTCCATCCAATGCTATATGAGTTTTGGCATCAGTAGTAAACACTAGCAAATGAGATGCATCATTTCTCCAGCCAATCTTGTCCTGGTATAAAAAAAAAAGAAAGAAAAAGAGGTAAAGTAACTTTAGTCATGTCATGATAAAACACAAAGCCTTAAGGCTTTTCTTTCTGAAGGGCTAGACAAGTCTTCTTAGAGAAGGGCCTCAGCCTTTGCAACCTAAGTTGGTGCCCTCCAACTCAAGGGTTTCTGTTATCACTGGGAAACCAGACTGATAGCTGATTAGTTCAAATAGCTGAGCAGCACTATTGTCAAATCTACAAATAAATCTTCCAGTAATAGTCACATTGACTATCTTGAAGCCCACCTGCACTCAAAAAGTGGGCTAGGCCTAAAGAAGCCTATTTCAACATTTGCCAACTTTGCTTCAATGAAGTTGACCCAGGTTTGACTTGTAAATACATCTAGAAAAGCTATTTCCTTCAAGGCAATGATTATTAAACTTCATCTCACAGATTTTGAGCATGTTGTTAGGACAAGCCAGTCCTTGAAAAAAGATATCATGCTTACAAAAGTGAAGTGTCAGTGAAAGAGAAGAAAACTCTCAACAAGAGGTATTGAAACAGTAAGTATAACAATAGACTCAAAATATCAAAGATGATGAAGATGGCACAGGGCAGGGCAAGGTGCAGATATGTTATCTATAGGGTCTAGATGAGTCATAGTCACGCAACAGCACTTAATAACAACAACAGAGAAGCTAAGAAAAAGCTCTCCCAGAAAAGCAGTGATATTCATGGAATGTCATCTCTGACCAAGAGGTAGATAAGAGGAGAGAGATTATTGCTCATTCCTAGCCACTTTGCACCAGAAATCCCCAGGGCTGAGCCGTTTCCTCCTTCCTCTTCACCCATGCCAACCGTATCTGATATACCAAGCTCACCACACTCACATCACAGACTGTAGCCTGCATGATGGCATCAAAGCCACCCTCTGGGGCATCTCGATTTCGTGACACGTTCTGCTTCTGCACCTCCTCATTGAAGCGGGTCACCTGGTCAGTTAGCGTCAAAACATGTTTGTAGCCAAACATAGGCAAGCAGGTGGTCTTGATTCTGGGGGAAAATAGGTGATTTGAGCACATTTTGATGGAAAAGGTGAAACAGGGAATAGAGAGCAAGGAGAGGGAACAAATACAGATAGTAGTGTTCCCAGGCCAGTTCTATACACATAATCCAAACAGTGTAGACTCCAAATTTCAAATTAACTGAGGTATCATACCAAATCACCTCCAACTAGTTGGGGATAAGAGAATGGGCTATAGAAACAGACTCCTTAGATTTCAATCCCAACTGCACCATTTATTAGTCATGGAAATTTAGGCTTGCTCCCTAATCTTTTATAAAGAAGGACAATGATAATATTTATATCTTATATCTGTTTTGAGACTTGAAGGAATAAATACATATAAAGCTCTTAGATATAAAGCTCTTAGAAAAAAAGCTCTAATTATTATTGCTATCATCTTATACTTAACATTTTTCTCCAGTAATATTATTGTTGTTTTTGTTGTTGTTGTTGTGTGCTGTTGAGTTGGTACCAACCAATAGCTGACTCTTCAGCAGGTTTTCAGAGGCAATTAATCACACAGGAGGAAACTGCCCTTCCTTCTCCCATGAACTAGCTGTTGGATTCAAATCACATGCCTTTGGGATTGCAGTGAAGATTTTTACCACTAGGCTACCAGAGTTCTCTACCTTAGTAAGGTAGAGAGCTAACACAACAATAAAACAAAAATTCATCAGTAAGTTAATCTTCTTAAACTATCAATAATATGAAAAGTCAGGCCAACAGGGAAATTTCTGTCCCAGCCTATGGGTTTGTTCACTAGTCAATAATACAACTCAGACGGAAGGTTCAAAGCAGCAGTATATAACTTTTATAATAAAGAGTCAATTCTCACCTTGGTAGGCTCAATAACTATCATTTTAAAATATTGAAATGCAAAGATTTGTGTGGTCCCTACCAACTACTTAAACAAAGCCATTCAGTTATAAGTCAAAAAGGTCAACAGAAACACAATCAATTTACAGACTATTAAAAGATTCAGTGTTGTTTAAACTCTTTTTCTTTTTCTAGCCTTTAATAAAGAGGAAAATGACAACAACAATAGAATCAATCTTTTTGAAATCGTAATTCTTCAAGGAACTTATCCATAAAGTTTGCTCTACTTCTTACCTCATTTCTCTTATACTCTTTCATTCTTATTTCTGACCAAGAAGTCAATGGATTTCTCTTACCAGGTCTCTAACTACACTCTAACAACACTCCACATCAATGGATAAGCTCACTTATCAAGAAGATCAGAGAGGAGATATGGTTTGGTCAACAGATGGCCAACAAAGTTGCTGAAAAACTAGAAATAGGAACTAGAACTTGGTCTTGCCTGGGACTATGGAGAAGGATGCTGCCCAGGCTCCTGGAGAGAGACTTACTCATAGCATGGATTTTTGAGGGCCTCTGGTGGAGAGATATACATATATGGTGACACAGGCTTGTCCACAAAGGCCCCAAAACCAATACGCAGGTTACTGGTGAGCTTGCGCATCTGGGAGGCCAGCTTGGTACCCAGATTATGGATCTTCTCTAGATCATCCTTCATAGAGTAAGACAGGTCCATCAGATAATAAATGTCCACAGGGTAATCTTCCACCTGCCTCACTTGGACGGAGAAACTCTTCGAATCATCTAAAAGACAATAGGATGTTAATTTTTCTCCTGAGACTTAGTAAGTGGATGTGGGCACAGTGGGACTAAATAACTGCTTGGTCCCCTGTCCTCTCTCTGTGAAAATTCTATTCCTTTTTCAATCTCTTGACCAATCCAATTCTTGCCTTCTTTTCCATGCTAAAATTTTTCCTTCTTTATAAATCCCCACCTGTTCTAAACCTTGGCACCCTCAGGAACCATGATCTTGAGTCACAGATATTTTACAATTACTACACTTCAGACTCTGTAAAAGGCAAGGATGGACTACCTTTCTCCAAACCTGAGGTACTCAACACACATTTTGCATATAGTAAGTACTCTACTTGTCTCTTACCCTAATCCTGCCTCTGTCTGCAGATCCTCTAGCTCTATGCGTCTGCCTCAACATCAAATGGAGTTACATTTTACATTCTAATTCAACATGTAATTTGGCACACAATACAAAAGTATAAGGTAGATAAAAGCAGAAACAGGGGGAATGAAAGAACATCTTTTGAGTAGCTACAATGACAGGAGCTCTGGTGGCTGAGTGGCAAGAAGCTGCACCGCAGTCCTGAAGGCACCTGGACTGAGGGCACCAACCACTCTGTGGGAGAAGGATGGGCAATCTCCTCCTGTGCAGTTAACTGTCTCTGAAAACCAGCTGGAGGGTCAGCGATCGGTCAGTTCCAATTTTATGGTACATAAAAACTATGTCAGGGTAGCTACTCAGTGGAGGGTTGGTGAAGGAGGGGAAGACCCTTGACCAGATAGATGGACAAAGTGATTGCTGCAATGGAATATAGTGTATCAGGAAGAGTGTGTGTGTGTGTGTGTGTGTGTGTGTGTGTGTGTGTGTGTGTGTGTGTGCGTGTGAAGATGGCATAGGACAGGGCAGGGTTCAGATCTGTTGTTCATAGGGTTGCTATGAGTCGTCCTTGACTCAATGACATCAAACAATAACATAACAACTGTGTCGGAAAGGTTAAGTCATTTATTCATGAAGAAATAACTAATATATTCTAGGGTTAAAATTCCAATTCAGTTCTCTAACTTCAAGTTTCAACCTCTTACATTGTCTTCCATTCTCCCAAACACATTTCCCACCCTCACTTTTTATCCCTTTCCATCTCTTTTCTGAGATATTTCTCCAAAACAACTTCCTGCACACACCCTGTGCCCCATACCCTGTGCCCACCCAGATGAGATCTCTCCCTTAGATGAACTTCATTCTTACCTGGTCGTAGTGAGAGTGAAATCTTCTGGGGACTGACTTGAGTAACCTGGGAGCTGTCTCCAGAGCCCTTGTCACTGAGGGGTCTAGCCTCCAATACTGTGGCCTTACTGACTGGGAACTCAATATCATCTGGGGCACAGTTGTCCTTTAGCAAGTTCTCCTTCAAGTCACAGCGAGGTGTGCCTGGAGGCAAGGACTGTAAGAAAGAAGCCCAAGCCAGTCAAAACTCGGGTGGCTCTCTGCCTCCTGCAGTCCCTGTCACCTCCCACTGGCCTACAGTTTACCCAGCACTTTGGAACTCAACCAGCATAAGTGAACCAGTGTGACCTTCCCAAGATACACCTCAGGCCCACTGAATAAAAACAGAAAATGAGACGTCAGAAAGGCTAGATGAGCGCCTCTTCATGGATTGATAACTAGGATCTACTGACTCCTTGATCAAAGTGTCAAAGCCATTTCTGTGAATTTTTATTTCTTCCTTTGTAAGATAAAGAAGTGAGATGACAATGTATTTTCTATCCATTCACAGTATTTTCTAACAGAAATAAGATCATTATTAGACTCGAGAACTGTGAAATACAAGCCATCTACGAACCCCAAAATCAATTTAGTGAATCTCACCAACATTTTAATAAATAAAATTAAGTAGAATCAAATAGAGTCAAATAGAAAATATCAAAGTAGTGAAAGTGAGTATTGTTTCATGAAGCATTTATATAATGGGAGTGAAGTATATACATAAAATGATGGTGCACAATACAGTCTTTATATAGTCAGGGGCTAGGCTGTAAGCTCCATGGAGATAGCAGCTGTGCATGTCTTATTTACACTTTATTCCCAGCACTCAGGCTCAGACTCCAGCCCAAAGAGAAGAGAAGGAAATATCAGAAGGCAGAAGAAAAAAATAGGTAAGAATCCAAGAATAGAATAGACAAGACTAAACCCTGGTTTTGCCCCTTTTGTGGTTGTTAGTTCCCATAGAGTCAGTTCCAACTGGTGGCATCTTCATGTAAAAACAGACCTGGGCTATCTTCATGACCATTGATATGCTCAAGTCTATTGTTGTGGACACTGTGCATTTTGAGTGCCTTCCAACCTAAATAACTTGCCTCTGGAAACTCTACAAACTTTGAGAAACAATAGTTATAGAAAGGTTTCAGGTCTTTCGTTCATAAGGTTGCTATGTGTTATGTTTGACTTGACAGCAATCAACAACAACCACCACCACTACCTAGGAGGTTCATCTACCAGCACTATATACTGGACAGTATTTTGCCACCTACAAGCTGGTTATTAGGGTAGGTTCTGTATCAAGTGAAGGGCAAGGCAGAGAAGCGAGAGTATGGCAAGGATGGTCTGCAAGGATGGCACGCAACTTCCTAAGTAGGAACCAAGACACAAGAAGAGGATGGGGGAGGAATGAAGAAGAATGGATGATGCCCTGCCTTTTCCCCAAGCTGACCTGGTAGTATTATTTCCCAGGAGAGAGACCACAGGAACCCTCCATACTCAAAAACCCACAATTCTGTAGCCCAAAATCTCTCCTGGAGCTCAATGTCTCTTTCCCTCTCATTTAGTCGTGAAAGTCATGGAGGATTCCTCACTGGGATGGAAGTATGAATAACACCAGTGGCAGGGGGACCACTTTGGTACTAAGCAAAAAGGGATAAGGCATCTTAGAAGCAAGCAGCTTTCTTCTTTCTTTCAGCTTCAGAACAATGAGAAAAGCAATAGAATTTAGCCTTCCAGTTTAAAATGCCAACATGAACATCACAGACCCTCCAGGTCTCTGAGGGAGATGAAAGCCCTTCCCCACGCCCAGCTCTGGCCGAAGACAGAGAAGCAGAGAGACTCACAGGCACTTCTGGTTTCTGTATCCAGATTGCTCATGCTGTCCCTGCCCACTTCTCAACCCTTATCCCTCAGGAGGTCTTCTCTGAGAATCTTCAAACTTCCTCGACCTTCTCTCTGATTTCAGCTACTCACAAAACCCCAAGGTGAAAACTTTCCTTAAAACATCAGACCAAGCAAATGCTGTAGAGAAAGCAGGGTAAAGGAAGAGACAAGGAAACGGAATGGAAACAGTGAGGCCATTGTGTACACCAGGCTGCATCGGGGGAGGAAGAGATTGTTTCTGAGGGAGATTTCTTGGCCCTCATTTTCTAACATGATAGCCCTTATCAGAAGAGGGTTTGAAGTGCTAGGCCTTGCTGACAGTCCTTGGAGTTTGTTATGAATTTCCTTGGAAATATAAACACCAAGAAACAAAAACTGCCTTCCACCCTCCCTTGTGGTCACTGATATCAGAGGTCAGAAGCATACCAGGACCGCTTGTCAGCCAAGCTCTCCTCGAGAGCCTCCTGTCCCCAGAAGGATACCAAGGTAGTGACCTCAATACACTGGAACAATATTCTGTTGCTTAGGATCCCAGAATGATAGAAGCAATGTCCGTAGTTTATTCAGAGAAAACACTGTAAGGGAAGAAACATTGAGGATCCAGCTCTCAATAAAACAGTACGTTGCACAAGGATGGCAATAACCAAAGAACCTGAGCACCAAGCAGAAGGTCCCAGCCCCTGTGCTGTGTGAGCCTGCTGGGCTACCTCGCCTGGCTGGAAGAGTGATGCATACTATTACTACCCCCCTCCATGACTCCCATTCTGAAAACTGGAAAAGTACAGCATGAATTAAAGTCATTCTCCTACCTACCTCATGGGATTAGTCAGAGGATAAAATAAGACTGAGTGGGGAAATGCTTTCAAAATATACAGACAGTAACATAAGTAAAATATACTCAAATCTTTTTTGATAAGGGATAAACAAATAAATGTAAATATCAGGTGATTCTTCTGTCTTGTCATTGAGTATCATATGTCAATCCTCCCAGAAGCAGACCACACCACAAGGTCTTTTTGCTATGGAAGTAATAAGTGAGTTTAAACTGCCAAGCTTTCAGTTAGCAGCGAAGGTAGTGTTTAACCACTGTACCGCCAGGGTTCCTGCTATTATAATTACAAACTCTGGTGGCCTCCTGGTAAGGAGCTGCACTACCAATCCAAAGACATGCAGTTCAAACCCACCAGCTGCTCCAAGAGAAAAATGGTAGACAGTATCCTCCCATGCATTTTACCACCTCTGAAAACAAGCTGGTGAGTCAGCTATGGGTTGGTTCCAACTCAGCTTAACAATTACTGCATCAAGGAGACAGATTGACACAGTGACTGGAACAGTAGGCTTGACCATGGCAGAGGTTGAAAGAATCACACAGCATGGAGCATGGTTTCATTCTGTTGTTCATAGGATACCATGATAATCAACTTACAGTCAAACCTATCAGTTGTATACTCCTCTCCTGGTGGCACAATAATCTGTAGAGAGGTGAGCTGATAACTCAAAGGCTGCACCTCTGTCAGTTCAAATCCATCAGCCACTCATTGGGAGAAAGATGGGCAGTCTCCTCCCATGCCATTTCTGACTTCCTGAAAACCCGCTGGAGTGTCACATATGAGTCAGTTTCAACTCAATAAAATGAGTTTTAAATTCTAAGAAGACAAGAGTCAATCTTTTTTTTTTTTTTTAATTTTGTGCGCGTGTACCGTCAAATCAGATCTGACTGGTACAGGAGGATATTGCGCCTCCTTCTCCGGCAGAGTATCTGGTGGATTCGAACCGTGTTCCTCTGGGATTGCAGTGCAGCTTCTTGCCACTAGGCCACCAGAGCTCCCCACAAGAGTCAATCTTGTCTGGTTTGGCTTGGGTTTTTTTCTTCTTCTTCATTGTTGTTTGTGTTTGGTGTTTTTGGTTTTTGGTGTTTTTTTTTCTCAGAACACTATCAAAGCACTTCCAAATCAAATAAATTAGCACTGTCATCTCCATGATGGGCCTTTGTTCTAATCACTTGAAATGTGGGAGGAACATAAAAAGGGAGGAAAGGAGAAGAAAACACATTTTAGATTTAAAGTTAATGCTATTTATACCTCATCATTTATTGGGAGGATAGGAAGCACAGCTAATAAATTTTTTAACAACATCTTGGAGAATATTGCCTAGGAACACCCTCAAGATTAACATGTATCTGCCAGATTTTTTTTAAAGTATCAAGAATAAGCAATAGAAGCACAATCAATAAGAGTGCATCTAAATTCCAAAATCAATCTCCATAATAGTCTATGTGTTTCCTACTGCCAAAGGGGCCCTTTAGAGTAGTGAGAGAAGATCTTCACCCTGAAACCCACAGCGTCCCTTTTCAGCAGGAAGTAGCTAAGAGAATACACCATCCCCTTTTCCTTATGACTCAGGGTGAAGTCTCTCTCAGGGAGGAGTGATAGGGAATGGCAAAGGACACACTGACAAAGAAGATTAATCAGAACTGGCTTTGACAAGCACTGTGGCATTTGGACAAGAACAAACTGGGAGGAGGGTAGAGAGAATAGTGCAACAATGAATGAATGGAAACCCAAAATCTCTGTAAATGTTTATGAAAATTAATAAAATATAATTATAGAAAAAAAAAGAATAAGCAATAGGAAAAAATTTTTAAACAATCTTGGTGGTAAAAATGGAATATCAAGTCTGACCCTGTCCCTTTCCCAAGCAGAAAAAAAACTAAATTAGTCCAATTAGAGTCTTCCTCCACTTTTTTGGCCCCAAGCTCATTCTTCCTCTTCCATTTCTGGGTGTTGGGCTGAGTATGAATTGCTCGACCTCCTAGTGTACATTCAGGTCTATAGAAGTATTCTTACTATTTCCCTCCGCCTTGTTATGTTGCTGTTAAGTGCTATCAAGTCAAGTATGACTCGTAAGAACCCTATAAACAACAGATCTGAACTCTTATTTTGCACCACACCAACCTTATTATCCTCAACACAGTTGAGTCTATTGCTGTAAACACCATATCAATCCATCTCATTAAGGCTCTTGCCTCCTTTGTTGACCTTCTACCTTTCCAAGCATGACGTCCCCCTCCAAGGAATAGCCTCTCCTAACAACATGTCCAAAATATGTGAGCTGAAGCTTCACCGTCTTTGCCTCCAAGGAGCACTCTACTTGCACTTTCTCCAAGACACAACTGTTTGTTCTTTGGACCGTCCCTACAATATCCACCACTCCTTTCCCATAGTCCAACTCAAATGCATCAAATTCTCTCCTGTCATTCTTATTCATTGTCAAGCTCTCCAGATGCAGAGCAGAAGATTTCAAAGGCTGTGGCTTGAATCACGTGCACTTTAAACTGGCATCATCACACTTCGGGTCTTTGGAGAGGTCCCTGACAGCCAATTTTCCCAATGCTATACATCTTCACCTGAAGGCTGACAAATTTAGAAAATATTTAGGATACATACATTTTTAAAATATTTCTTTTTTTTAATTTTTTTTTTTTACGTGCAGGACTACTCTTCCCCCCAGGAGAGAGGCCCTCCAGGCTTGGCCTGGGCTTTAAGGCAGGAGGGAGCTTAAAGTCCCAAAGGGCCCTCAGCAGGTTCAAATTGTTTTTCTGTCACACATTCTTCTAGATGGTAAAGCACTGGTCTGTGCATTGCTGTTCAGAGGTAACTTGTGGTTGCTGTGATGCTGAACACTGGGACACTGATGTGTCAAATGTGATAACAGTTGCCCATGGGGCAGTATTTGCTGGAGCTTCTCAATTAAAAAAGCCTGGAAGCAGGAGTTGCATCCACTTCCAAAATGGCTTGCCTCCGGAAACCCTATGAACAGTGCTCAGGCTTTTCGGTCATAGGGCCATTATGAGTTGTCTACAACTTGACGGCACCTAACAACAACAATATAAGGTTAACAAAGTGTATATTTTATTTGGCAATCTCACTCCATTTCCACCTACCTTGACCCGACAGCATCCCCTGCCAAACTTGCCATCAGAAGAACCCATTCTGATGCAGCAGGTCCAGGCTGCATCCTGGGAACCTTTATTATGAACAATCATGTCAGAGTTCCCCTACCAGTTCAGCCCCTGAGGCCAAGACCACAAGTTTAATCTCTACGTGAAGCAGACCTCTTCGTTAGATACACACAGCCTAGCCATAGCACACCACCACCCCACCCCAATCCAGCTCTCCAAGAACACACCCTACACAGATGAGCCCAAAACTCCATTTTCATCCCCATTGGCTATGTTTTCCTATAGCCCAGCCAAGCAATCTCTATACACACCCAGAGCAGCCATCCTCGAGTGACCAAGGGAGAGCTAAGCCCAACCAGCTGTTTTCCAAGGCACTGCCAGCTCTGCCTCAAACAGTCCAGAAAGGCAGCGGAAGCAGGAGCATGAGGGGGAGCTAGATAGGCCCCAGAATCGATGGTGCAACAAATCTCATACAAAATGGTCCAAGCATTCACCTTTTGTTTTGTAGGTCAATACTTGTACTTTCAACAGCTAAACCTAGCTTGTCCCAGAAAACCCTGCTCCCCTCAGGAAAAAAAAATCCAGTATCCCAGGATTCCCACTCCAATTCCTCCCTGGTTGACACATTTCTCCTCACACCCTCCCCACTCTCCCCTTCTCTCTCTTAGTTGTTGTCACACCCCTTGAATAGCTCATTGGGTTTTCTACTTAACTTTTATCTACATCCAATAGCTCTTTGATCTCAATCCCATTCCTTACCTGATCTAACTCTCATTTTTCGTTCCTACCTAATTTGCCTATAGGCAAGAGTCATCCATAAAGAGCCTACACTGGTGTTAAAAAAAAACAAAAACCACCCTGGTTATACGGCTAAGGGCTTCTCAACAAGGGTGAAAAATGGGAGCGAGAGGAGAAGAAGCCAAACCATCTAAGATCTTTTCTCCCCGACTCCCTGGCCCTCAGACTCCTGGACTCAATTGCCCGCACTTGTCTCTTGCTCTGGATTGAAAAGAGGGGGAGGAAGGGAGGGCACACACTGAATGTTACGAGGGTTTCTCCTCCCACATGCCTTTGCTCCAGCCAACCCCAGGTCCTCCGATCCAAAGGAAGCATCTTTCCCATCCAGTCCTCCCTCCTTCTCCTCAGCATTCAGTTGCACAGCAGCAACTTTCTTGTAATGAAAATGTAATAATATCATAATGTCATCCAAGAGAAAGAAGACAAGGCAAATGAGATGGGAGGAGGGGGCCACATCATGCAGAGCAACCCAGCTCAGCCCAGAGGGGAGAACCAGGCCAGGAGGGAAGGCCCGGTCTCCCCCCTCTCTCCCTACCCCCAGGCCCAGGGAATGTTTCATTTGCTAAATGAAGTCAATGTGGCCCAGATGTTGGGCAGCTGCCTCTGGGAGCAGTTCCTGTGCAGCTAAGTGCGGAGGCCAAAGCAGAGAGCGGGGCTGGTATCTGCTATTCTGGCAGTCTCCCTGAGGAGGGACAAACACAGCCTCCCAGCTCCCACGTCCCTCCCCACCCAGCCCTCCAACCCTCAGCCTGCCAAGGAGACTTGCCTTTTTAGGAAACACAGTGGGTAAGGAAGAGTGGCAGACAGAATGAGGGGCCAGGTAGGAGTGGTCATGATAACTGCAGAGAAAAGCCGAGACCCCGCGCCATGACGAAGAAGGTGCTTCAGGTAGCTGGGAGGCAGCCCGGCCAGGAGCTCAGGTAGCCGCCACCTGCCGGGCATCCAGCCAGTGACTCAGCCACAGACTCTGTAATCTCTGGGAATGTCTCCAGCCACATTCACCCACTAGCTCTTGCCAGCTCCAGATTCCCACCCCAGCCACAAACATAGCTGTTCCCTCAGACACACTCATCCCCTAAGGCCCAGACACAACAAAGCTTCTGCCTAGACACAGCTAACCCTTTCCTGTCACCCTCTCAACCAGCTGCCATCAGGGCAGCCCCAACTCATGGTGACACTGTGTGTGTCAGGGTACAACTGTGTGTGTACAGCTACGAGGATAACTATGTGTGTACAGCTGTGCTCCACAAGGTTTTTCAATGACTGCTTTGTCTAAAGTCGAACATGAGGCCTCTGCACAGATTCAAAACTCCAACCTTTTGGTTAACACCTAGGTGTTTTACCATTTGCTGTAACCTGGGACTAATCACTTTGCATCCATACCAGAGAGGCCCAGCTCCTTCCCTCATTGATTCCTCTGAGAGAGAAGGAAGAAGGAAAAAATAAAGCTGTGGAAGCCAATCATCAGAGATCTAACAGAGAAGAGTTTCTCGAACTAAACACTCTTACACAAGTGGAAAGTCCCTCTTTTATTTGTTTTTTAAAGTGCTGGGATGTCTGTAAGCTAGCATCCCTCCTCTGTCTACATACCCTTCTGCCTCTCCTTTTGAGAGTTGAGGCCCTGCTTTTCTGGAATATTCCACTCCAACAAAAACAAGTGAAGCATAGTAAGTCTGCAGCCACGGCTGAGGCCAGGAGGCTCGACTGAATGGCTTTGCCTGGGATTACCTCATAGACCCTGAACGGCATTCTCAGCAAAACCTAGGGCAGCTTGCTTTATCGCCCATAAGAGGAAGGCTTCACTCTGGTTTTGCTCAGAAAGAACAAGGTGTTTGTACACTTAAGAGTAATAAGATATTTCCATGGGTCTATTCTTGCATAAAAGCAGCTGAATGTAGGGAAAATGCAAGGTCAGGCACTGTCCTTACCTCATCTGAGCACCAGGCACACATGGGACTCACAGCTAGACACTGCTGGCAGGAGCTCACGCCTCGAGTAGTGCAGATGTTTGGCCCTGCAACAGACACAAAGGTGTTAGCACCTGATTCAGCTCAAAAGAAGTCAATGGCTTGCCCCATTCTTCTCAAGTTGACCAAATGCCCCCCATTTGAACTCTCAGATCCACATAAACACACCCCGACCATAGCCATACACCAAGCACAAGCTGATAGACCAGGAGTTAACTGAAATTCAAACTCACGTCCATCAAATCAAAACTAACTCAATAGCTGACCCTCTCTCTGGTTTCAAGAGACTGTAAATCACACAAGAGGATATTTGTCTCCTGGAACAACTCACGGATACTTTCGAAACAACACACAGGTACTGCCTTTGGATTAGCAGTGCAACTTCCTCTGGACCACTCCTTCAGAGCTCCAGATAGGTCAAGAGAAAGGAGAATAAGGATGCTCAGTTTGTGTCCACCTGCCTCTCTGAGGAGGGAATGTGTGGCACTATTTTTCCATAAAGATTTCTAGCCATGAAAACTAATCCACTGTGTCCTATAGGATTGCTAGGAGTTGGAATCAACTTGAAGACTATGGAGTTAGTTTAAGTTTTAATTCCTCCCAGAGCCCAGCTGGCCTGGCAGTTTTCTTAGCTAAGTTCGTCAAGTGGTCCCATTGCCCTGAACTGATGTGACCACTAAATCTATTTTTTTATAAATAGTCCTGATTATCTCAGTGTTTTGCCTATGTCCCCAAAGTTTAGCATCAAGCCAAATGTCTCAATCCTTTTCACTCTGTTGTTGTTGTTAGGTGACATCAAGTCAACTATGACTCATAGCAAGCCTATAAACAACAAATCTGAACCTTGCCCTATCTTACACCATCCTCACAATTTCTGCCTCTCGTTCAAGTCCATTAATACAGTCACTGTGTCAATCCATCTTAATGAGGTTTGTCCTCTCGTTCTCTGACTCTACCTTTGCCAGCATTATGTCTTTTTCCAATGACTGACTCCTCCTCAACAACATACTCAAAGTATGTGAGACCAGGTTTTACTATCCTTGCCTTAAAGGTTGTACTTCTTCCAAGACAGATTTGTTTGTGCTTTTAGCAGTCCATGGTATATTCAACATTCTTTGCCAACACCACAATTCAAAAGCATTGATTCTTCTTCTGCATCCCTTATTCATGGTCCAGCTTTCAGATGCATTCAAAGCAATTGGAAATACTATGACTAAGAGAGGCCACTGGAGAGGGATATCATGCGTGGGAAGGTGGAGGGACAGCAAAAGAGAGGAAGAACCTCAACCAGATGGATTTACCCAGTGACTGAAGCACCTAACAACAATAGCTTGGATGAGGTGCACCTTATGTTTTAGAATTATATTCTTATTCTTTAGCATTTTATAAATGTCCTTCTTGATCAATGCAACACATCTTTTAATTTCTTTACTGTTGTCATGAATGTTTACTATGGATCCAAGCAAAATTAAATCATTAACAACTTCATTATTTTCCCCATCCGTCATGATGTTGCCTATTGGTCCAATGGTGAAGACTTTTGGGTTTTTTTCTTTCTTTTTTTTTTTTTTTTAGTTTTTCTGACTACATGTTTATTCAACACAAAACAATTCCCTCTAGCTTTACTGAGGTGGCTGACCACGTCCACGACCAAATCCGCCTCTAAACTGGAATTCAGTTGCTGACCCAGCCCCAGCCTTGGCTTTCTTGTCAGTACCAGGAGGCACTGTGCTCCGTCTGAATGTGTCTCTGTCAGTTTCCCCTCGAGTCAATCTTGCAGGTCGTTCACCTTCGAGACCTTTCGGTCGTGGCCTGCCAGTCTCAGGATGGCTGTGGCGCAAGGTGGCAGGAACAATTTCAGGAGGCAGATGGAGGTAATCACGTGGATATTGGATACCCTCATTGGTAAGGTACCAGTAGAAATGTCTCCAGGCAAACTGTTCCTTCACATAACCTTGTGACTTGAGACTCTGCATGGCCTTCATGACATGAAGGTTGGGCACATTTTTGTCTGCCAGTTCAGGGTGCTTTGGCATGTGGACATCCTTCTTGGCCACCATCACCCCCTCCTTAAAAAGGAGTTCATATATGGCAATCCGGTTCTTCTTGGGCATCAACATCGCGATAGTAGATCGACTTTTGTTTTCTTGATGTTAATGTCACTCAGCTCTTCCCTCCCTACACCTGGACAAATAGACAAAGGGTGTCCTTTCAAAGTACAATAGAACAATTCTACTCTGTCCTATAGGATCATTCTGAGTTGGAACCAACTCAAGAGCAACAGATTTCATTTTCATTCTTCAACTCTATAAAAAGAACAAGAGCGATGTGGAGACAGCCATGTCTGATTTTTACCATCTTCACAAAGGGGAACTGTCCCCAGCAACAACAACAACCCAAAACCAATTCCCATAAGATCAGACACGCCCCGCACGTTCCCGCACCTCTTTCTACTCATCCCAACACCAATCTTACTGATTTACTGGGTCCAAAATCTGATGTGATAGCTCACAGAACCATACTGAGGAAGTCAAAAGGCTATAATTCAGCTTAGTAGCAGAATATAGTCAGGAGAGCTTTCAACATGAGATCAAAGGCAACTCGGCCTTGATTGAGCCTTTATGGCTTTATGAAAGTGTTACAAAGTTCTCAGTCCTACCAATATTGGCTCTCCCCTCCACAGTCCTCCAACAAACTCCACTAAAGGGCTCTTAGCTCTGGTCCGGTAGTGTAGCAGGCCCAAGGTCCACTCTGTATCATATCAGGTCTCTGGTTCTCCTCTGGGCTGCTATGGCTGTTGCTCCCATAGGATCTAGTCTGGCTGCTGCAAGAGTCTCTAGTCCTGAAGGACACATTACATTCTTTTGCTACTGCTTCTTTGCTGGTGTTAAGGTTTTTCTTTTCTTCTGCTGGTTTCTCTCAATTTAATGGTGTGACCAGCTAATTGCATCGTGAGCTGGTGAGACTAGCCAATCTCCTTGTGGACTGGTGAAACTAGATAATCCCCTTGTGGATAGACTATACCCTATCCACATGGCAAACTCAAATTCAAAAACTAATACTGCTATAATATTATATTTATGTATCTGCTTTAACATAATCATCACTTCACAGACTATAAGCCCCTTAAGACCAGCCCTATCTATCTCACCCCCAGTCCTACTCAAAGGAGGTGTATAACAAATATATTTTTAATCAAATCAAAAGATACCGAGCTAGATCAAAACTTCCTTTTGTAAGCAGCTCATTCCTCAAAATTGTGCCCAGAATTCCAATGTAAAGCATTCATATAGATCATGCCACAGATTAAATGTTCATTGTTCTAAAAATAAAATAAAATAAAAAGCACTAGGCTATATGTAGAATCCTCGAAGCATTTCCCAAAAGGCCCATGTGCCCACAGAATTCTGACTTCAAAGGCCTTCCTCAACTCTAAAATTCTTCAAATGGGATTGCATTATAAACTCAGCTCCACCATGTAACTTGACCACAACCTCTAAACGTGAAGGCTATCAAGTGGGAATTACAGCAGAGGCTTCACATCTGGTCCCAAAACATTCCACTGCTTCTGAGTTGGGACATTCTTCAGTTGTCAAATGTCTGTAACAGAATAGGAACCAGTCTAGAGCTGCCAAATCCCAGAGCCCTGGATGTTTAGAACCAACAATGCAACCAGGAAACCTCCCCCAGCAAGGCCTGCCTATCCATCATCTGGCCTCATGTCTTCCCCATCCGTATTTGAGGATAACCCGCAGCTATGGAGTCAGTTCTAACTCTCATGACAACCCTATGCGCTACAGAGTAGAAATGTTCCATAGGGTTTTGTTGGTTCTTATTGTTATGGGAGCAGAACAACAGGACTTGACTCCACAATATCACTGGGAGGGTTTTACTACCAATGTTTAGGTGGGTGGTGGAGCATAAACCGCTTGTAACACTGTCTTCTTTGTATGCATTATCAGACGAGTTCTAAACTATTTTAGATGTCTTTCTCTCTCTCCTCAGAGTTTCTGTGGAAATTGGCATGTAGGGGAGGAGAGATTCTGGACACCAAGGCCATCAATGTTCAGTAAAGTGTGGAGAAACACAAGGCAGCCTCACAAGATTTGAAGAGAAGAGGACCATGGGAGGGGTGAGCACTGTCAAATTATTTTTTAAAAAAATAAAAATGTGTCCTAGTCTCTCCTTTTATCCATCCATTCATTCTCAAATTAGCATTTCCTCTATGAGTCCTTTACTTATAACCACAATAAAACGCCTTGCCAGATGTGAAGTAACAGCAGGCCCCCTTCCAGTAAACGGGCGGTCCCTGAGCCCAGAGGATGAGCTGCACTGCCGGGATTTGTTTTTTAGGAAGTCATGCCTAGGAAGCCATGGTTACCCTGTTCCCCTAACCCCATCTTTTCAATGAATCACAGGCTGATGTTGTGAGAATCAGTGATCCTCCCTCACTCTCCAAATCCTGCCACAAAAGGCAGGTTCCCTGGACTGCAGAAAACAACTGACTCATCAGAAGTCTTGGTGCCTGAGCCATGCTGATTCAATGAGCTGCTGTTCCAAGGTGGCCCCTCCCTCGAGAACATCTGGAAGGTGTTTAGGGCTTTGTTTGCAGTCATTCACAAGGCTCTGGGCCTCAGAAGCCCCAACTCAGCTCTACCAGAAAAGGACCATCTTCCCTGGTTTCATTCAAAAGAATGACCAACTGCTACTGCCCCTTTCCTCTGGCAGTTTGACCAAATCAAAGACACCATGTGGGCTGACCCTGGTCTGCCAGCTCACAGGATGCTCATGAGGACAGAAGAAACTAACGTCTGTAAAAAGAAAAACATCGTGTGCAATCAACAAGCTCTGTAAAACTACACACCTGGCAAACAGGAAGTACTCAACGTATGTTGCCACTACAGTTGCTGCTGGTGTTATCCTGGGCCACAGTCACTTTAGAGTAGGTCAAGGATTTACCTTTCTTATTTTCCTTATAGGTCACATTTACAGGACACCATACACACAGGTGAGTATGCACTAAACAAGGAAATGGTGAGGGG